AATAAATGGGTGAAAATTGCTTGTGCCCATAATGGGCAGCATTAATATATATACACACATGCCAGCTAAGGTCAGAAGAGCTTTATTTAACAGCTGGTCTTATGTTTGTGACCCCTGTTGTTAATTGATAACATTACATTACATTAATTGAAAAGCCTGAAACATGCACTTGTCAAGGTTCAGAGGCACATTTTGCAAATATGGCAGTAGCCATCGATCATCTTAAGATAAGATATACTTTATTGATCCCAAGTTGGAACATTTGCGTTACATCAGCATGTGTAACAGTTAAAATGCAGTGGTGTTTATTTGTAAATCATTTAGTATAATCACACAAATTCTGTGTTTTATATTTAACAATTCTGTGTTCTTTATTTATTGATTGTTCAATACCTGACAAGGTCGGAGATGAAAATATCTACATACATCTTATAAGAGTATAATACATTATGTATAATATCAGTTAAAATAATTGCTTCAACATAGTTAACATTGCTGGAGGTATGCACAAATATTGATAGATGTCTTGTAATGCACTATTGAGGAACCTGCGACCCAAGTTTTTCATTCAATGCATAACTACACCATAGTTGTGTAGGCCTATATGATATGTCAATAAACCTTAGAAAATCATGAAATCTTGAAAGGGATGTGCAAAATAGTCATTATATACAGTCTTTAATGAACTATTAGTAGAGAATAACGAGTAATGAATATACTTTATAGGGATCCTATTAATATCTAATGATAAAAATAATGATATTCAATAACATGCTTTAACCACTAGGTGTCCCTTTATATCAGCTGTGCACCTTTATGGTGTAAATACAGCCTATCTACCAATTGGATCAAATATAAAAGTCAGCCGAATTAGTGTTGATACTGCAAGGAGACGTATTGTGTGAAAATAAATGTAAGATGTTGTTTAATGGCTGATATATTTATGATCCACGTCACGTTTTCAGTTCCTCATGTTTGTCTAGAAGTCTTCTCATCAGGGCTCTATAAATACAGAACTACGGCAGATATGTAATATTTAATGCAGCTGAACCGTGTATTACAATGCCGTTATGTGATGACTTCCAAAGAGAAAAGCAAGCACACTCGGAATAAAGTATTATTGTATTTGTTTTCAATGTTTTCGGTCTGTTTCCGGTATTTGTTAATGACGATGTGCTGTGAGATGTGAGACTGGAATTGCACAGGGGAAAATAACGTAGGCTATCTTTAGATGCGGATTTTGTTAAACTAATATGTTTTCGCTGTGGACCAACACTATACATTGACGGGGAAGGGGGTAGCAATAAAGATAACACCATTAAACAGTTACACAACATAACAGAAATAATATCGATAGCAGCGTCCCTAGCAACCACCTTGGTAACAATGAAAACGTTATGGACGCAATTTCCTGAAGTAATCTTCGTAATAACTAGCAAACTAAAGATCATGTGCATCCACTGCACACATAATCTGAAATAACAACTCATATTTCTCGCATCAAATGACATCAAAACGCATTTTAATGACCAAACTAACTTTAAAATAGGCATTTTCCATCGAGAATAAAACGAAGTTCGGCCATGTTTTTTTTTTCTTCAGGGAGAAATTTGAAGATCACGTGACGTCAAACAGAGCACATGGTGTAGTCCAAACGATAGCTGGGGATTCTGGGTAGTGTAGTGTCTTCTGCCATCCTTTACTCCGAAAACATATTTGTTTCTCCGAATCGAAGAGGAAAAATACAAAAGCATTGCACACAATTTAAACCAATCAATGTTGTGTAATTAACAAGGATAATCTGGTGTTTTTTAGTCGATGAGTAGTGCAGATATCACTGTAAAATCAATCGACAGTAAGGGGAATACTTACTTCCGGGTGTACAATTATCCGTTATCCAATGAGAATGGACGCTCACATTGCCTTTAAGGGCAGCCGACACAAACGAACGCCGTGCTTCCATGAGCGTCCATAGAAGCATATGGACATCCCGGAAATCTGAAAATGGACGCTAAGGCCCCCCCCCTTGCGTTGAAAATGGACGCTAAGGCCCCCCCCTTGCGTTGAAAATGGACGCTAAGGCCCCCACCTTGCGTTGGAAAAAGCCGACAGGGGACTTGACATAACGTCAACATAGGCCGACCTGGGAGTGAGGATGTGTTGTTATATTCCATGGAATGCTCTCAACATCCCGATAGCAATGAATATCTGAAGTGCTTTGAAGCCGTAGCGCTGTAAAAAGCACGACCAATCGCCTGAGCCGGCTAAAGTAACTGGATGGCCTACCTGCCTGCCAGCCTTCCATCTGGGCACACACTTACCTCGTGCCCTCATTGGTCATGTGCGCGTTCATGTGTGTTGGAGGAGGGGCTCTGTGAGGAAGTGGCAGATTTCTTCCGGCAGTGTATTTTCAAATTCTAGCGCACTCGAGCTGGTTTCTCCAAAATTACCTACCCCACCTTTAACAGTGGTGTAAAGTAACTCCACTGCATATGTTAAATAACTTTCAACACAGAAGCTGCACTGTTTGTTCCCCCCTTTTAAACTATATACAGTATAGCTATGTTGCATGAATATAAAACAGCTGTAGTGAGCTTAGTGACGGTTACTCTGTGTCTCGCTTTAAAGCAGGGGTGGGGAACCTCCGGCCCCCGGGCCGTATACGGCCCGCGAGACCTTACTACGGCCCTCGAGGTAATTTATACGCAAAAAAGAAAGAAATCTAGACCGTAAAAAAATTAAACAAGCGAGTGTCTGTTTTTCCTGACCAAGGTCAGGGTCCTTGAACACATCACGAGCCTAACGTGTCATCACGTGTATTATGTCTCGTCTGACAGGGGTGCAGTTCTGACCATGGTTCTGACGGAGAGCACCAGAACGCCGCTCCGCCACTTCCACAAATTGCAGTATCCATAAGGAGCCGTACACATGCTGCAGTTTCTGCGTGTCTGTGTCTTTAGTTCAAAGCCCAGTGGCGATCTGTTCATCTGTCATTCTGATCAGTGGTGTAGTGGGGATTTCTTTACTGGGGGGACGCTATTTTAATTAGGTCATCCCAAACAATGCCACACAAGTGCGCATGCGCGCAGTGCACTCACAAAACGGGCAGACAGGTCCACAGAAACTACCGGTATGCTTAGTCCTACTTTAGTTACTGTACTGCAAAAAGCAGACGGCGCTGCGCTCAACACACACACACACTCAAAACCATGGACACACTGGCACATAAGTTACATAAACAATTTATAGGCCTAAATTGCATAAGCTACAGTATTGCAACTAAGCAGACAGTGCTGCTTCTCTCTCTATCTCTCCACTTTCAACTTTAAATCTATTTAAAACTCATAACAAACAAACAAAATGTCCAAAGTTGTCCTGAAATTAACTTATTAAATAAACAAAACGAAAAATATAGCCATACTTATGCAAACAACATTGAATCTGGACTTGACATTATTCTGATTATAATTGCAAATAAGCAGACAGCGCTACCGCGCTGCCACACACACACACACACACACACACACACACACACACACACACACACACACACACACACACACACACACACACCTTGGATTTTGAAGACTGATAAATCCGAAATGGATGAACATACTTTGCAGCCCAGTTTCCCAGCTTTGCAGTCTATCCACGGGTATGCCTCTTGTTTCCTCCGCCACATCTCCTCCGTCCTTACCTCTGGGAAAGGTGAGCTTGAGCTAGCCAGGGGAACGTTGCTAGCGCAGCTAACGTGCACGTTAGCTAGCATTATCCACGTCTTTAGGCGGCTCTTCTGATGATGTATTACTAGCAGCTTCACTTGTAGCTTCGGTGCTGCTAGCCTCTTTCTTCTTGTGAATTATATTCTTTTTAGAAAAGAAGTCAAGTAAAACATGTTAGCCTGCCATTATAGAGCTTTTTCGTTAGTGTTCTTGAGGGAAGGAGCTGCCGCAAAATCAGCGGACGCGGCGAGCTGGCTCGCCGTGGGTGTGTCAGTGACCGCGGGGTCACGAGCGAGATGATGAATCATACTTTTTTTAAGGAAATCGTTTTTATTTTTTATTATAATTACTGTGAAATGTATTATGTTTTCGTCATTATTACAACAAATACACACTTGCAACTGATAACACTGGCAATGATTTTATATTTATTAGACTTAAAAAAAAGATCATGCTCCAAATAAGTGGGGGTACGGCGTACCCCCGCGTCCAACGCCCACTACACCACTGATTCTGATCATACAGTCAATAACTTTGTTGTTATTAGCATCTGGTTAGCTAGCTATGCTAACGAATATAAGAAGCTTTTTCTACAACCAGTGAGGTAAAGGCACATCTTTACATGATCATTATAGTTATAAAAAAATAAGAGAATAAAGTAAACAGGTATAAAATACTATATTACGGTAACAAAAAGTTGTTATTAATAAACAAGAATACAGTTTGAAAGGGGAGTGATTTGTAAAATATCCATAAAGAAAAAGAAAATCTGCTTACAGTTCTGTTTCATATGGGTGTTGAGAGATGTATCCATAGATCTCCTAATGTTGCTCTCAAAGTGCACCAGATTGATGCTTTTAACTTCAACATTTAAAAAAAAATCTTCCCGGGGGAGAACACCCCCCTAGACAAGGTTAGGTCCCCACTTAAAACATGTTCACATGGATAGGAAACTAAATACATTTGCACACATCTTGTGTCCATATATTTCTGTTTGGGTGGTCATGCCACAACACTGCACGTGCATGCACGAGTCATGGTAAGATATCTGGATTAAGAGGTTGCTTTTTCTTTGCACAGCATGAAAGAAAGGCCAAATGAATGGGCTGTGATTTTAGTATTTTTAAGCAGAGGTCAATAATTTGTACGGCCCTCGGAGGATGTTGGAAAAATTGAAATGGCCCTTGAGAGGAAAAAGGTTCCCCACCCCTGCTTTAAAGACATGGCCTCCAAAATAAAGACAGCATAACATTATAACATTAAATACAAAAGTAATCTTTTATTCTAAAAGGGACAGTCACTGTGTAGCAAAAATACATTTACAATGTTCTCCAAATATAAACTTAGGCAATGTCATACACACACATGAGGACACATCTTAATATTAATTCAGTAACGTACAATAGTAGTAGTAGACACTCACAATGTGAGTTGAAAAAAAGGATCAGCCTCTCACTCTTTTGTATTGTTTCATTGGACATGTTCCAACATTGAAACCATTTGCAGACGTCTTGAAAAGTGCAAATTGCTTCTTTGTGAAGGGCAGGTTGGGATCAATACAGAACTTCTTCAGACATACAGTTGTGATTCTGTAAGAAAACAATTGCATATTGTTAGAAACACAAGAAAACAAAGAGTCATTAATTTTAAGCCACTTTCACACCAAGTACTTTGCGGTACTTAGTTCCCGGTATTTAGTCCCGCCGAACTCTTTAGTCCCTGGAACCAGTGCTTGAATTGGGCCGGTACTCACCGGTACGCAGTACCGGCACTTCTGATTTTTACCCATGTGGTACCGGCACTTCTTACTGAGTATACTGCCACCCGAAGTCCGGGAGTCCCCCGGAGTTGGAGGCTGGCTTCAGTAGAAGCTGCTGGTTAGCGTCTTCTGAGTAAATCGCCAGAAGCGCCGACACCTCCTCATCTCCACCGCTCCCATGTTTTTTTGTGTTGCCATGAGTTATTCTCTCTCCTTTGGTACGCTGGGCTAATGCTAATAATGCTAATGCGAGCAAATAAAATGGTGGCTTCACAAAACATTTGGGAGTTTTACGGGGCGTGGTTTGCAATTCGCCCAGCCAATCAGAAATTGGAACCTTTTTCTCCCCAGGAAAGTCCCGCCTCTCTAGCAGGGACTGAAAAGGGGGGAAAAGGTTTGCGTGAACTAAGTTCTAGTGCCAGATATTTTTGGTGTGAACGCAAAATCCCAGGAACTATCGGAACTATTCCTGGGAAAAGTACTCCGGTGTGAACGCGCCTATAGACAGTTTACATGCTGGTTAACTAAACAGCTCTCTCTGGTGGGGTTTTTGGTTTTACTAAATAAACACTGGGTTTATTCTGTGATCTTTTATTCAATGCTTTATTTTCAAACTATTTATTTGACTGTTTGTTGCTTTCGTTCCTTGATAAGCAGCTGGCACTGTATGTCCTGTCACCACTGTATACATGTGATTTTAAATGTGTGAATAATGCAGTGCGTTGAACATGCATTCAGTGAACCTTAAGACTAGAAACATTGATTCAAGATTATAGTATGAAAATGTAGTCCATTTACCATTAACAAGTAATAATTCATTTTAAAAATAATAATGTAAGGTGTGTAATTGCTACAATATGAGCTACTTTTACTTTGCTTTTATTATTAGTTTCCTTAATTATTACATTCATTTGCACCAAAAAAATGTTTGAATAATATAATATTTAAGCAATATTTATACCTTGTATTATTGCTAATATAGAAACTAAGAAACACACGGGTGTATTAGAGTAACATGCACACGTCTATAAACTTACACAATTGCTCGGGATTCACAGTCACTCGGGGTCTCCGCCACGTGTTTCACCATTCGTCTGGGAATTTGTTTTGTAGTGAAGCCATTACAACATCCATCCTTTGGTGTTGATGGTCCAAACAGAGCTGTGAACACAAACACACACTTAATACCAAACACAGTTTACAGCTCACAGAGAAATCCAGCAGAGATACTGACCGGCAGTGCAGTGGCGCAGGACGCAGATCAGAAGTACGAGAGTCACCAGAGTCTTCATAGTTCAGAGATGGTTCAGAGCTTCTGTTGGGATGCAAGCTTATAATCTTCAAGGATTGAAGTGTGATAGAAACCTGCTCTGTGCTCCCTGTATTTATACAACTCCTGCCTCCAACAGCCCCCCATCATTGCTGAGCCGTGTTCTCAGAAAGCAAAACAACTGGTTCTTTCTTTCTGTTTCAGCTATTTTCTGCAGAGGAAATGTGACGTCAATAATTATGTAATACAATTCGTCAAAACGTTTTACACAGAACATGGATAGGGCTTTTGATTGTTGCTTTCTCTTTAGATCAATCAATCAATCAATCAATCAATCAATCAATGTTTATTTATATAGCCCAATATCACAAATGTTACATTTGTCTCAGTGGACTTTACAGTTTGTACAAAATATCAGTATGACAATACGACACCCTCTGTCCTTAGACCCTCACATCGTACAAGGAAAAACTTCCAGAGAAAACCCACAGTTTAAAGGGAAAAATGGGAGAAACCTCAGGGAGAGCAACAGAGGAGGGATCCCTCTCCCAGGACGGACAGACGTGCAATAGATGCCGTGTGTAAATTGAAAAGATAATACATTTGCAACATAGGTAGTCCAAATGTTTGGAAATGCATGTGTGTATAATAGGAAGATGAATCCACGAGGATATCCATCCAGGACCTATGATCCAGGACCACAGCCACGACTCAAGATCCAGGACAGAGGAGCGCAGGATCATCCATGACTCCGGATCCCGGCGTATACAGACACCAAAAAGAAAGACATTTGGGGAAGCTGGGTTAATCGGAACATGAGAGTACACAGGTATAGACAGAGAGAAGGAAGAAGTAAGATGTCCCCCGACAAACTAAGCCTATATCAGCAAAACTAGGGGCTGAATCTAATCAGCCCTAACTATAAGCTTTATCAAAAAGGAAGGTCTTAAGCGCGTAGATGTATCTGGATATAACTGTGGAATTATGGAAGGACTTTTATCTGCAAGCTCTTACTTTAATATAACTTTAAATCTCTGTTAATTGCTGCAAAAATATGTCTTGGTATCCCAGATTAAAAACGTAACGGCATGTTTCTTAATTGTAATAAAATCACAAATATAAGCACTGCATTGAAATGCATGTTGAATGGCAGTGGGGAAGTGAACATTGACTCCATACTTCATTACACTTTTCAGAGGTTAAATGATGCAAAACATATAATCAAAATGATCGTTCCAAATATTAGTCTTAGTGCTTAGTTTCACACCAAGTACTTTGCCGTACTTAGTTCCCAGTACTTAGTCCCGCTGAAGTCTTTAGTCCCGGAACTGTCCTAGCAGATCGCGTTCACATTGGAATAATTTCCCTGAGAGAAGATTACGCAGATGAAGCCGCTGACGTCACTTCTTCTTCTTCTGCTTTGGGTTTACTGGCAGGCCGCAAACAACTTCACGGCGTGTACTGCCGCCCAGAGTCCCGGAGTTGGAGGCTGGCTTCAGTAAAAGCTGCTGGGTCGCGTCTTCCGAGTAAATCGCCAGAAGCGCCGACACCTCCTCATCTCCACCGCTCCCATGTTTTGTTGTGTTGCCATAAGTTAGTCTCTCTCCGTTGGTGCGCTGGGCTAATGCTAATGCTAATAATGCTAATGCGAGTAAATAAAATGGCGGCTTCACAAAATATGTCAGAGTTTTACAGGGCGTGGTTTGCAATTCGCCCAGCCAATCAGAAATTGGAACCTTTTTCTCCCCAGATAGTCCCGCCTCTCTAGCAGGAACTGAAAAGGGGGGAAAAGGTTTGCGCAAACTAAGTTCTAGTTCCAGATGTTTTTGGTGTGCATGCAAAATCCCAGGAACTATCGGAACTATTCCGGTACTCCGGTGTGAAAAGTGCCTCTTTACTTTTTTCTAAATCCCAGATCTTTCTGACTCTTTTAGGCATTGCATTGTGGGACATTAATGCACACATTAAAAAATCAAGCATGTTTAAGTAATAGATGCTGTACATCATAGCAGTACTAAATAGTAAGCATAATGGTGGAATTTTTCAAATTAGGATGAACGGCAACATTCAAGTACTAGATGCAGGTTAATGCACCACTAATAATATGAAGCACTGACAGTAGCCACGGCACTTGTACTTTAAGCACAATGTGTTGCTAACACTACTGTTCTTTTACTTCGATGAGGATTAGAATGCAAGACTTGTAATTAAGTCGTTTTATACTTTTATATCGCTACTTTTACTGAAGTCGATTATTTTAATACTTTTTCCTCCACTGAGCTTTAGTAGCCATGGTAATAGAACAGTACATTGTAGGTGATAATATTTCAGCAACAATATAAATATATTAATCTGTAGCACTTCAGGTAATATTGGAAGTTTAAGCATTATTAGTAGTACATTAGTAGCGTATTGTAAGAGCTGAGATTGAGTTAACATGATAATAATAATAATTCATTCCTTACATTTATTATAGCACTTTTCCAGATGCTCAAAGCGCTTTACAAATACACATTACACACATATCATACATCAAACGGTCATGTACTGTGGACAATACCCACAGGAGCAAATTCAGGTGAAGTGTCTTGCCCAAGGACACAACGGCTTTACAGATGATGGGACTTTCTCTTCCTCATCCGTTTACAACAGAAAAATGTACATCAGCATTTCTGAGAACAAAGTGTAGCTGGATTTACACTGAAGAAGTAATTCACAGAAATGTGTTTTCACTTCATCATTCTGATTATATGATGACATAGGCAAGGCAAGTTTATTTATATAGCACTTTTCAACACAAGGCAATTCAAAGTGCTTTACAAAAAATGAAAGACATTAAGAAAATGGCATTTAAAATCAGTCATTAAAAAGAAAAGCTAATAAAATAAACATTAAAAGAAAAAGTACATGGATAAAAGTTACAGTGCAGTCTAAGATATGAATAGTTCAATTAAAAGCAGCGACAAAAAGAAAAGTCTTCAGCCTGGATTTGAAAGTAGTCAGAGTTGCAGCGGACCTGCAGGTTTCTGGGAGTTTGTTCCAGATATTTGGAGCATAATAACTGAACGCTGCTTTACCATGTTTAGTTCTGACTCTGGGGACAGAAAGCTGACCAGTCCCTGAAGACCTGAGAGATCTGGATGGTTCATCATTTAGCAGGAGGTCAGAAATGTATTTTGGGCCAAAACCATTCAGTGCTTTATAAACCAGCAGCAGTATTTTGAAATCTATTCTTTGACACACAGGAAGCCAGTGTAAAGACTTCAGAACAGGAGTGATCCACTTTCTTATTGTTAGTGAGGACTCGAGCAGCGGCGTTCTGAATCAGCTGCAGCTTTCTAATAGATTTTTTAGTGAGACCTGTGAAGACACCATTGCAGTAGTCGAGTCTACTGAAGATAAAAGCATGGACAAGTTTTTCCAAATCCTGCTGTGACATTAGTCTTTTAATCCTAGATATATTCTTTAGGTGATAGTAGGCTGATTTAGTAACTGTTTTAATGTGACTGTTGAAACTCAGGTCAGAGTCCATGACTACACCTAGATTTCTGGCTTTATCTGTTGTTTTGAACATTGCACACTGAAGCTCAGCGCTAACTTTTATACGTTCTGCCTTGGCTCCAAAAACCATTACCTCAGTTTTATCTTTGTTTAATTGGAGAAAGTTCTGACACATCCAGTCATTGATTTGTTCAATGCACTTACTCAGTGTTTGAATTGGAGCATAGTCTCCTGGTGAAATGGTTACGTACATTTGGGTGTCATCCGCATAGCTATGGTAACTTATTTTGTTGTTTTTCATTATCTGAGCCAGTGGTAGCATGAAGAGAAGAGGCCCCAAGATGGAGCCTTGAGGAACCCCACATGTCATATTTGTCAACTCAGATTTGTATTTACCTAGAGAAACAAAGTTGTTTCTGTCCTTTAAGTAGGATTCAAACCAATTTTGAACTGTTGATAAAAGTCCCACCCAGTTTTCCAGTCAGTCTAGTAATATGCTGTGGTCAACAGTGTCAAACGCAGCACTGAGATCTAATAATACTAACACTGAAGTTCTGCCACTGTCTGTGTTTAAGTGGATGTCATTGAAGACCTTTACAAGAGCAGTCTCAGTGCTGTGGTTTGGACGAAAGCCTGACTGGAACACATCGAAACAGTTATTTAAATGCAAGAAATTACTCAACTGTTGAAAAACAACTTTTTCAATGATTTTACCTAGAAATGGGAGGTTTGATATGGGCCTGTAATTGTTCATTACTGAAGCATCTAGATTATTCTTTTTTAAGAGCGGTTTAATGACTGCAGTTTTCAGAGCCTGTGGAAAAACACCTGAGTGAAGAGATTTGTTTACTATATGAAGTAGATCTGAGGCCATGCAAGGCAAAACATCTTTGAAAAACCCTGTTGGAATAATATCAAGGCAGCAGGAGGAGGATTTCAGAAGTTGAATAATGTCCTCTAGGTTTTTATCATTAATAATAATTAATAATTCATTAATAATTAAATAATTAATAAAAGTGGAGCTATCTACTTTTTAATATCCCTCTTGAACGGTGAATAAAGTGTTATCTTCACCTATAATATTACATCATAATTTTATTTTATGATTATATCATTAATATCATTCAGAAAAAGGCAGCAGAAGTTATTGGATACATTTAGTAAAGTAAAAAGTACAATATTTCGTCTCTAAGAAGAAGTAGAAAATATGAAATAGCAGAATACATTTCACAAACAGTATTTAATTAATTGTATTTCAACCACCAATACCCCTTTAACACCAATGCGGTTCCAGGGCCGGTTCGGAGCTGGAGCTTGAAAAGCACCATTTTATCCTGTTCACACCGCAGCGGAGCCGCCTCTAAGCTCCGGAATCCGGTTTGTTTCAAGCACCAAAAAGTTGTCGGTCTAGAAAGCAAGCATATGTCACGCCTACGTCGGATCTGGACTGTGTCCAAATAACACGTGACATCCGCCTTTCCGCCAGCTTCAACATGATCTGTGGAAATAACATTGAGAATCAGTTGTAATGTTATACCAAAGTAATTAATGCTGCAAAGCTGGGTATTTTGAGCTTGGCGCATGCAGAGGCTAACAACAGCTAGCTCTAACGCCATCGAATAGGACGTATATTTACCTTCTTTCTCCTACGGAATCGTCGTTGAAGTTGATTATGATTGTAAGAACTTTTGAATGTAGCATGTAACGACTGTAAAGTTGGTAGTAAAGTCGTCCCATTTGTTCCATTTTGTTTCGACAGAGCAAAACCAAAACGAGTAGCGCTTCAACACAATCTGCCATTGTTGTTGTTGTCGATGTGAGGGGTTTCCGCGCGGTTTGGCTTTATGAAGCAGGCACGCAAACGGTACGTCATGACGCAAACGATGACGCAATGACGCAGCACCAGTCGGGCTCTGAGCGGTGTGAACAGAGCGGGAGCTGAACCGAAGAACCGGTTCTGAAGCTAGAACGGGAAAAGCCTTGGTGTGAAAGGGGTACAAGTGTCTCACAGTTAGTTTGTCATCCAGGCTCTGGTGATAAACTTTTTCTTTAACAATCAAAGGTCAACACACAAGGTGAGTTAGTATTATATGCATGGTCATTTTGTTTCTGAAGTATACCGTTAGTACCAAATTCATTGCAATTAGTAGTTGTTTAGATGTTTCACTTTGAACGACTTCTATTTGACCATGAGACATTAATGATCTGTCAAATTCATGACAAAGTTCAGTGCCTCAGTGACGGAGAGAGACATGGTTCCCAAGCAATCTTTTTTTGGAGGATGAGGAAGTGAGCTTTCAATGAGGGAAGTTCTGCCTGTTTCTTTCCAGCAGCATGGTTATAGAAAGATTGCTGAGGAAAGACAAGGACGTGAAAGAAGTCAAAGAAAACGACTGCGTAAGACAATTTTAGAGTTGCATTACTCCCATTACACTGAATTTGTAATACGTGTTATAACTGAAAGCAGCCAGTCATAAAGTCCTATATGTTGTATTGAAGCCATGGATAGACAGACTGGAACCTACTTTATTAAGTGCATACATTGGATGCAAGGTTGCAGTGTTGGTACTCAGATTCTATACTTAAGAAGAAGTAAAATGGTCTTAAAGTTCTCCATTACATGTAAAAGTCCTGATTTCAATATTTGACTTAAGTGAAAGTACAAAAGTATTAGCATCAAAACATACTAACACAAAACGTACTCAATCTGCACAATGTCCCATTTCACAATAATATAAACAACAGCAGTTTTATCAGGTAAGAGTACTTCAAGTATACAATTACTTGTTGCAGAATGGATATTTTCACAGTATTATATTATTGTGGTTATTAGGTTATCCTGTTTTTATACATGTAAGAGCATTTTAGTATTGTAGCTTGTCAATGTGGAGCCATTTAGATACGTGAAATACTGTTTAGATTAGTAGTACATTACACCATATCAGCAAATATGTGTTTTTTGAGTAAAGTAGAAGTACTCAGATCTTGTACTTGAGTAAAAGTAGAAGTTCTCAGATCTTGTACTTGAGTAAAAGTAGAAGTACTCAGATCTTGTACTTGAGTAAAAGTAGAAGTTCTCAGATCTTGTACTTGAGTAAAAGTAGAAGTTCTCAGATCTTGTACTTGAGTAAAAGTAGAAGTACTCAGATCTTCAACTTGAGTAAAAGTAAAAGTAGTCAGATGTTGTTCTTAAGTAAAAGTAGAAGTACTCAGATCTTGTGCTTGAGTAAAAGTAGTACTCAGATCTTGTACTTGAGTAAAAGTAGAAGTACTCAGATCTTGTACTTGAGTAAAAGTAGAAGTACTCAGATCTTGTACTTGAGTAAAAGTAGAAGTACTCAGATCTTGTACTTGAGTAAAAGTAGAAGTACTCAGGTCTTGTACTTGAGTAAAAGTAAAAGTACTCAGATCTTGTACTTTAGTAAAAGTAGAAGTACTCAGATCTTGTACTTGAGTAAAAGTAGAAGTACTCAGATCTTGTACTTGAGTAAAAGTAAAAGTACTCAGATCTTGTACTTTAGTAAAAGTAGAAGTACTCAGATCTTGTACTTGAGTAAAAGTAGAAGTACTCTGATCTTGTACTTGAGTAAAAGTAGAAGTACTCAGATCTTGTACTTGAGTAAAAGTAGAAGTACTCAGATCTTGTACTTGAGTAAAAGTAGAAGTACTCAGGTCTTGTACTTGAGTAAAAGTAGAAGTACTCAGATCTTGTACTTGAGTAAAAGTAAAAGTACTCAGATCTTGTTCTTGAGTGAAAGTAGAAGTACTCAGATCTGGTACTTGAGTAAAAGTAGAAGTACCCAGATCTTGTACTTTAGTAAAAGTAGAAGTACTCAGATCTTGTACTTGAGTAAAAGTAGAAGTACTCAGATCTTGTTCTTGAGTGAAAGTAGAAGTACTCAGATCTTGTACTTGAGTAAAAGTAGAAGTACTCAGACCTTGTACTTGAGTAAAAGTAGAAGTACCAGAGTGTAGGAATAATCAGTTACAGTAAAAGTCCTGCATTCAAAATGTTCCTCAAGTGAAAGTAGAAAAGTATTCTCATCAAAATATAGTGAAAGTAGCGACAGTGAAAGTAGTCGTTGTGCAGATTGGTCCATTTCAGAATAATATATATGATATGTTTTATAATGATTGATCATGAAAGTGTTCTCAAAGCTGGTGAAGGTGCAGCTAGTTTGAATGGCTTTGTATACTGCAGGGTAGCTGGTGGATTTACTCCAGGTGGAACTAAAGTCTGATTCAACACTTGATTATATTTCACATCATTCATCCACATCTGTGAAGTAACTAAAGGTATTAAATACATGTAGTGGAGTAAAAGTACACCATGTACCTCTGAACTGTATTGGAGTAGAAGTACAAAGTAGCACAACATTTAAAGTACAAGTATCTCAAAATTGTACTTAAATACAGTAGGCCTACTTGAGTAAATCTACTTAGTTACTTCCCACCTCTGGTAATCAGCACTTTAGTTATAACCACTCTCCCCCCTGCAGTTGAAGTAATGTTTGTTGATGTATATTCAGACCATGCTGCTCAGGAGATCCTGGAAGAGATCTAATAAGGTAAATCTTCATCATCATCATCATCATCATCATCATCAGCTTCATTAGCTTCATTAGCTGCTCCTGCACACTGATCACCTCTCTGTTGATTCATCACTGTTGTGTTGCTCATTTCAGTGTTTTTGTGGTGTACAGTTCATATAGACGTCTACCGTGTTGTGTATTCACATTTTTAAATGTCGTGTGTTGTGTCTGCTGTCATTAACATCCACTCTGTGAGCAGGACCATGTGCTTCAAACTGTTAACTAACATGTTGTAATCATGCTAATAAGATGTTACAAGGCTAAAGTTGCTACCAGGCTACTATTTTATTATGGGGCTAACATCCATCTATCAGGCTAACATACCGTATATTTTCAGGGCTAACATCATGTTGTCATAGGGTGACCAGACGTCCCCGTTTTCCGGGGACAGTCCCCGTTTGTATTGGCCTGTCCCCGGTTGAAATTGTCCCCGGAAATGTCGCCGTTTTTTAAAAATATAAAACACATAGCAAGGTGAAATAAAACGTTTCATGTCAGGAAACACTGGGTAAACACAGACTGTGGTCAAGCCAGCCCCCACTTCGGAAAACACACTCAAGCCAGCCCGCACGTTGTATGTTGTGCGCGAAAATCCCATGCATTACGGTAGAGGCCTGTAAAAACTGCCTTCAAAATAAAAGCGTTTACTCGGTCAATAACAAATATACCTAAAAAACACACCAAACATATTCATATATACTGGAGCTTAAATTAAGAAATATGTACTATATAATATGATCAATAATAATGTAAAACAAACTACGTATAACTACCACATTATAACTGAGTGAATGTACAATGTAAGGATACAGTTATGAAGACATATCTGACATTTCCACTGGGTGACTAATTTCAATTGATGTTGACACCATCTCACAACACTCCAAAAATAACATTACTTTCTGAAGCACAATTTAAAATGTATGCTGTTTAAAATCTCAAATTAGATCCATTGTCCATCTATATTTTGATTATTATTTAATGGAAACCGTCCATAATCAAAGAGTCATTCGAAGTGAATCAAATACTTATTTCACATCAGGGTAATAGCAGGAGACCCCATCTAGTCACTCAGAGAGAATCAGGACATCTGATGAAGAATTTCAAAATAAAATACTTTTGAAATCTCATATATGGGCTATCGTCCTTCTGTTTTTATACAAGAATAAATAAAAAACTGTCAAATTATCAAAGACTTATTTCACTCCAGGGTGATAGCAGGACACCCCATCTAGTCACTCAGAGAGAATCAGGACAATCTGATGTAGAGTTTCAAAATAAAAGACCTTTGTAGTATCATATATGAGCTATCTTCCTTCTGTTTGTATCCAACAGTTCAAATGTTCGAATTACATTAAACCAGAATTGTCCCCCTTTTCTCTTTAACATTGAAGGCAATTGGATATGTCAATGATATATTGACCGCAAAACTCAAAATGTCCCCGGTTTACATTTAGAAAATCTGGTCACCTTATGTTATAAGACTAATTATATGTTACAACGCTAACAAGGTGTTATCAGGCTACTGTTTTATTATGAGGCTAGCATTAATTGATCAGGCTAACATCATGTTATCAGACTTATTTGGTGTTATCAGGTTACTGTTCTATTATGAGGCTAACATCCAGCTAGCAGGCTAACATACTGTATTCTCAATCTAACATTATGTTATCAGGCTAACATGACATTTTCAGGCTACTATTTGTATGAGGCTAGCATTAAATTAGCAGGCTAACATACTGATGTCAGGCTCATTTGATGTAATTGCGCTAATTGCATGTAATCAGACTGAGATGATGTTTCCAGGCAAGCACTCAGACAAACAAAATGATATCAAGCCAACATCATGCTATCAGGCTAACATTATACAGCTAACATCATGCTATCAGGTTAACCTCATGTTATCAAGCTAACATCATGCTATCAGGCTAACATTATACAGCTAACATCATGCTATCAGAGCTAACATCATGCTATCAGGCTAACATTATACAGCTAACATCATGCTATCAGGTTAACCTCATGTTATCAAGCTAACATCATGCTATCAGGCTAACATTATACAGCTAACATTATGTGATCAGGCTAACATTATACAGCTAACATCATGCTATCAGGCTAACATTATACAGCTAACATCATGCTATCAGAGCTAACATCATGCTGTCACGCCAGCATTATACAGCTACATTATTCCAGCAGTTTGTTTTTATCTTTAATTTTACTTTAAAAGAAAAATTATGCTAGCTTATTATTGATTTTCTCAACAATGCCCTAGCAAATAAGTCCTTTACCTTCAATTAAGGTGTGTGTGTGTGTGTGTGTGTGTGTGTGTGTGTGTGTGTGTGTGTGTGTGTGTGTGTGTGTGTGTGTGTGTGTGTGTGTGTGTGTGTGTGTGTGTGTGTGTGTGTGTGTGTGTGTGTGTGTGTGTGTGTGTGTGTGTGTGTGTGTGTGTGTGTGTGTGTGTGGTGTGTGTGTGTGTGTGTGTGTGTGTGTGTGTGTGTGTGTGTGTGTGTGTGTGTGTGTGTGTGTGTGTGTGTGTGTGTGTGTGTGTGTGTGTGTGTGTGTGTGTGTGTGTGTGTGTGTGTGTGTGCAGCAACAGTCCCTGCGTCTCTCCGAGCTTCACAGGAAGTCTCAGTTGTGGCGAGGGATCGTCAGCATCGCTCTGATCGAGGGTCGCAGTCTGATCCCCATGGACCCCAACGGGCTGTCGGACCCCTACGTCAAGTTCAGACTCGGACACCAGAAGTACCGGAGCAAGGTCAGCACAGGACAGCACAAAGTCACACAAGATTAAAGATGAATACATTAAAGATCAAATTAAAGATAATATTATAATTATATACAGTTAAGTAACTTTTAAAATAAGAAATAAATATATATACATATTTAGGTTTTACATATTAAATGTTTCCCATTGTGTGTGTGTGTGTGTGTGTGTGTGTGTGTGTGTGTGTGTGTGTGTGTGTGTGTGTGTGTGTGTGTGTGTGTGTGTGTGTGTGTGTGTGTGTGTGTGTGTGTGTGTGTGTGTGTGTGTGTGTGTGTGTGTGTGTGTGTGTGTGTGTGTGTGTGTGTGTGTGTGTGTGTGTGTGTGTGTGTGTGTGTGTGTGTGTGTGTGTGTGTGTGTGTGTGTGTGTGTGTGTGTGTGTGTGTGTGTGTGTGTGTGTGTGTGTGTGTGTGTGTGTGTGTGTGTGTGTGTGTGCAGACAGTGCCTAAGACTCTGAGTCCTCAGTGGAGGGAGCAGTTCGACCTCCACCTGTTTGAGGAGACAGGAGGACTTTTAGAGATCACGGTGTGGGACCGAGACACCGGGAGGAGGGACGACTTCATCGGACGGTCAGTCCTCTTTCTGTCCTCTTAAGATAAGATGAGTACTTTACATTCCAAAATGTAAACATCTCAATAGAAATAAAATAGCATATAGAAAATATGTTGAATTATACATTTACAGTAACACAAATTACAAATGTACTGTGTTTACATTTTATTGTCTTAATCTGCAATTATTTATAATAAAATGAGAGCAAAGTGTGTGTGTGTGTAGCTGTCAGCTGGACCTCTCCACTCTGTCTAAGGAGCACACTCACCACCTGGACCTCCCTCTGGAGGAGTCCCGGGGCTTCGTGGTGCTCCTGGTCACGCTGACGGCCTCCTCTCACGTCTCCATCGCCGACCTCTCCGTGACCCCTCTGGACGACCCGCAGGAGAGGAGGGAGATCCTCAAACGCTACGTGAGGACTCTTTAAAGTAGAGACACTACATACTGATATACACCTGAACATCAGCAGGAGAGGACTCTTTAAAGTAGAGACACTACATACTGATATACACCTGAACATCAGCAGGAGAGGACTCTTTAAAGTAGAGACACTACATACTAATATACACCTGAACATCAGCAGGAGAGGACTCTTTAAAGTAGAGACACTACATACTGATATACACCTGAATATCAGCAGGAGAGGACTCTTTAAAGTAGAGACACTACATACTGATATACACCTGAACATCAGCAGGAGAGGACTCTTTAAAGTAGAGACACTACATACTGATATACACCTGAACATCAGCAGGAGAGGACTCTTTAAAGTAGCGACACTACATACTGATATACACCTGAACATCAGCAGGAGAGGACTCTTTAAGTAGAGACACTACATACTGATATACACCTGAACATCAGCAGGAGAGGACTCTTTAAAGTAGAGACACTACATACTGATATACACCTGAAAATCAGCAGGAGAGGACTCTTTAAAGTAGAGACACTACATACTGATATACACCTGAACATCAGCAGGAGAGGACTCTTTAAAGTAGAGACACTACATACTGATATACACCTGAACATCAGCAGGAGAGGACTCTTTAAAGTAGAGACACTACATACTGATATACACCTGAACATCAGCAGGAGAGGACTCTTTAAAGTAGAGACACTACATACTGATATACACCTGAACATCAGCAGGAGAGGACTCTTTAAAGTAGAGACACTACATACTGATATACACCTGAACATCAGCAGGAGAGGACTCTTTAAAGTAGAGACACTACATACTGATATACACCTGAACATCAGCAGGAGAGGACTCTTTAAAGTAGAGACACTACATACTGATATACACCTGAACATCAGCAGGAGAGGACTCTTTAAAGTAGAGACACTACATACTGATATACACCTGAACATCAGCAGGAGAGGACTCTTTAAAGTAGAGACACTACATACTGATATACACCTGAACATTAGCAGGAGAGGACTCTTTAAAGTAGAGACACTATATACTGATATACACCTGAACATCAGCAGGAGAGGACTCTTTAAAGTAGAGACACTACATACTGATATACACCTGAACATCAGCAGGAGAGGACTCTTTAAAGTAGAGACACTACATACTGATATACACCTGAACATCAGCAGGAGATGACTCTTTAAAGTAGAGACACTACATACTGATATACACCTGAACATCAGCAGGAGAGGACTCTTTAAAGTAGAGACACTACATACTGATATACACCTGAACATCAGCAGGAGAGGACTCTTTAAAGTAGAGACACTACATACTGATATACACCTGAACATCAGCAGGAGAGGACTCTTTAAAGTAGAGACACTACATACTGATATACACCTGAACATCAGCAGGAGAGGACTCTTTAAAGTAGAGACACTACATACTGATATACACCTGAACATCAGCAGGAGAGGACTCTTTAAAGTAGAGACACTACATACTGACATACACCTGAACATCAGCAGGAGAGGACTCTTTAAAGTAGAGACACTACATACTGATATACACCTGAACATCAGCAGGAGAGGACTCTTTAAAGTAGAGACACTACATACTGATATACACCTGAACATCAGCAGGAGAGGACTCTTTAAAGTAGAGACACTACATACTGATATACACCTGAACATCAGCAGGAGAGGACTCTTTAAAGTAGAGACACTACATACTGACATACACCTGAACATCAGCAGGAGAGGACTCTTTAAAGTAGAGACACTACTTGTGTGCGTGCGTCGGCCGGTCGGAGATTATGTGATATGGGTTTTAATTAGAAAATAAGCTCTGATTCACTTCCTGTATGTGTCCCTAGGGGGCGCTGAAGTCCTTCTCTAACTTCAGAGACGTGGGCATCGTTCAGGTGAAGGTGATGAGAGCCGAGGGACTCATGGCTGCCGACGTCACGGGTAATAACATATATATATATTTCTCGCTACACGTGTCGTGGCTTACTTCCTTATTTTTCTATCAAGCCACTAGACGCCTTAAACAGACATTATTTAATTAGTTTTTTTCCTTTATCTTTGTGTTTACTCACAGTTTGAAGAGTTGCTTGGCCTGCGATGGTTTGGACGATATTATGTGATTGGTTTCCTCAAATTAAAATTACAAACCTTTACACATGAAACAAAGAAAAGATGCCTTTACAATATTCAAAACAAAGAGGAAAAACTCAAATAAAATAACAAACAACTTAGTTATTCTTTCTTCCTTTATAAGGATTTTATAACTTGATAACTTAAAGGTCACCTATTCTGCAAAATCCTCTTCTTCATGTCTCTTCTACATCAACATGTGTCCCCTCTTCTTCATGTCTCTTCTACATCAACATGTGTCCCCTCTTCTTCATGTCTCTTCTACATCAACATGTGTCCCCTCTTCTTCATGTCTCTTCTACATCAACATGTGTCCCCTCTTCTTCATGGCTCTTCTACATCAACATGTGTCCCCTCTTCTCCATGTCTCTTTTACATCAACATGTGTCCCCTCTTCTTCATGTCTCTTCTACATCAACATGTGTCCCCTCTTCTTCATGGCTCTTCTACATCAACATGTGTCCCCTCTTCTTCATGTCTCTTCTACATCAACATGTGTCCCCTCTTCTTCATGGCTCTTCTATATCAACATGTGTCCCCTCTTCTTCATGTCTCTTCTACATCAACATGTGTCCCCTCTTCTCCATGTCTCTTCTACATCAACATGTGTCCCCTCTTCTTCATGTCTCTTCTACATCAACATGTGTCCCCTCTTCTTCATGGCTCTTCTACATCAACATGTGTCCCCTCTTCTTCATGTCTCTTCTACATCAACATGTGTCCACTCTTCTTCATGTCTCTTCTACATCAACATGTGTCACCTCTTCCTCATGTCTCTTCTACATCAACATGTGTCACCTCTTCTTCATGTCTCTTCTACATCAACATGTGTCCCCTCTTCTCCATGTCTCTTCTACATCAACATGTGTCCCCTCTTCTCCATGTCTCTTCTACATCAACATGTGTCCCCTCTTCTTCATGTCTCTTCTACATCAACATGTGTCCCCTCTTCTTCATGTCTCTTCTACATCAACATGTGTCCACTCTTCTTCATGTCTCTTCTACATCAACATGTGTCCCCTCTTCCTCATGTCTCTTCTACATCAACATGTGTCACCTCTTCTTCATGTCTCTTCTACATCAACATGTGTCCCCTCTTCTCCATGTCTCTTCTACATCAACATGTGTCCCCTCTTCTCCATGTCTCTTCTACATCAACATGTGTCCCCTCTTCCTCATGTCTCTTCTACATCAACATGTGTCCCCTCTTCTTCATGTCTCTTCTACATCAACATGTGTCCCCTCTTCCTCATGTCTCTTCTACATCAACATGTGTCCCCTCTTCTTCATGTCTCTTCTACATCAACATGTGTCCCCTCTTCTTCATGCCTCTTCTACATCAACATGTGTCCCCTCTTCTTCATGTCTCTTCTACATCAACATGTGTCCCCTCTTCTCCATGTCTCTTCTACATCAACATGTGTCCCCTCTTCTTCATGTCTCTTCTATATCAACATGTGTCCCCTCTTCTTCATGTCTCCTCTATCAACATGTGTCCCCTCTTCTTCATGTCTCTTCTACATCAACATGTGTCCCCTCTGTGGAAAGAGACTCTGAAAGTCTCAGGAACAAAGATTCTCTCTCTTTTTGATCCATTTCTATAAAAACCTGTCTGAAAATGAGCTGATCAGATTTTGGCCACTTTATGATGTCATAACGATGTTTTGGCTTGAGTAACCATTAGCCAATCAGCAACCAAGGTGTAACCAAATGTCTCTCAGAGGGGCGTGGGGAGGGGCTCCTTATTTTCATCTAAAGTAACAGACAGAGAATCAGCACTTTTGTTCAAAAAAAATAATCAGTATTTTTTCAAAACAATTACAAAAAAATTGGTATTTCTCAAATATAATGAAAACCAACTCGGTATTTTTTGAAAATATTGACAAAAAATCTGTATTTTTCTAAAGAAATTACAAATAAAATACAAAAAAGTGACAACAATTTATTGTTTATTGTATTTTTCAGGTAAGAGCGACCCGTTCTGTGTGCTGGAGCTGAACAACGACCGGCTGCAGACTCACACCGTCTACAAGAACCTGAACCCAGAGTGGAACAAAGTCTTCACCTTGTGAGTGACCTTCCACATTTCCCCCAATATAAATCCCCCTTGTCCTGTTGGAGAGTCAACGTTATTACATGCGGTCATAATCCTCTTCTAAAGATATGTAATGCTTTAAGTGAAACCTTAATGGATATTCCTAAGGTGTAAAAAAGTAAAATACAAGTCAGAATTCAGGTAGAACAGCAGCGTTTCCCATACATTGATTTATTTGTGGCGGGCCACCACAAATGGATATAATAAAAAAAAATAATATATATAATAATTTTATTTTTTTTATTTTGTTGGTCGAATGCAGCGGTTCCCAGCCTGGGGGGCGCCAGGCCTCAGATGATTTGAGGCCACATATCATATTTAGATTTTATTATTTTTTTTACATATAATTGTAACTCAATACATGATTGTCGCTAAAAGCCTTGTCTCTACATTACAATAAAATATAACAAATAATTGATTAATTAATTTGAATACAAATTCAAGTTAGTATTAAAGGCATAAAAAGACAGAAATGTATAATTCTTTCTATAGAAATGTTTCTTCTGCCGTAAAGTGTCCAAACCAGGCTTGTCTGGATAAGCGCATTTTTAAAACATAGTCATTGTCCATGCCGGCTTCAGTTGGATTATTTGTCACAGTTGCTCCGATCAGATCGGTCTCCTCCATTTTGTAGATTATTCACGACTTTTGAATCCACATAAACACATCGGCAAAATCCGGCTTACTTTGAGCACGTGTTTTAAACAGTTTAATCCCTTTGTGAATTGTTTCCATTTACGCCGTCCTTTAATTTCTTCATACAGCGGGAATCCAAATGAATGAATCCTGAGTCCAATAACCATCAAAGTCGCTCCAATAGTGCTCCTTAATTACGCTTTCATCCTCCTTTAACAACATACTTCACATTCATCCAGTTTGTGACAGTTGTTGTAGCATTTTGAGACTTTGAAACTTTAATTACCGCTGTTGTTGTTGTGTACCCACACACACACACACACCCACACACACACACACACACACACACACACAAGGGGGGGGGCGCAAATTCCAACAGGAGTCATTTGGGGGGGCTCTTGGGAAAAAAGGTTGGGAACCCCTAGTCTAATGGATAGTGAGGTGGGCTGATGATCGGAAGGTTGCAAGTTCAAATCCCGCCAGGAACACCACTACTAGTGTGCCCTTGAGCAAGGCACTTAGCCTTAGTTATTCCATGGAGAATGTAATCGGTCATCGTAAATTGCTTTGGATTAAGGCGTCTGCTAAATGCCTAAATTGTAAATGTGCGGTGCGGTGCCCCCACAAATAGAATCAAATTCTGTGGGAAACACTGAACAGGTTCATCTCCTTTCTAAAAAGGCTCCCAATAATATGATAGGGACACAACGCCTTAAATAATAAATGGATTTACAAAATTCAACATTGAATTTTTACAGGATGAATTTAGAAAGAAATTAAAATCAAAGTTTGTTATGCAGAGTAGAAAATATCTGTCTGTATTTTATTACATTTCCAACATCCCTACATACAGTATACAGACATTACAGCATTTATATCGTATAAATACATCTCTATAAATATGAATATACATGTTATACATTGAAGTACAGTGTTTACTCCTTTGTTTGAACACATATTTTGTTATTGGACATTTTACTTCTTATGTTTGTATAAAATGATATTATTATTTATTGGAGATATGTAATGTATGTAATATGTAATTTTCCGTATTATTAATATAATAAAACATTTTTTATTTTATTTTTTATAGAACAGACATTTTACTTTAACTTCTTATGTTGTGGAAAATGTGTTATTGTTTTTATTTTATGTCTTTTTGGACATTTTAATTAAATGTTTTAAGTTTATATAAATATTTTTGGGACATTTTAATTTTGTGTTTTTATAAATACTCAGTTATTTTGTATTATTATTATCCATTATTATTTATTTTTTTGTTCTGATATTTGTTTGTTTCTCTTTCTCTTTCCCTCAGTAACGTTAAAGACATCCACTCGGTGATGGAGGTGACGGTGTTCGATGAAGACCGAGACCGGAGCGCCGACTTCCTGGGAAAGATATCCATCCCTTTATTATCTGTGAGTGAATACAATAATAATACAAATCTAAAATGTTCTGAAAAGTGTAAAAATCAATCTGTAAATCTGTTTTTTCTTCCTTTCAGATCTGCAACGGTGAGCAGAAGAGCTACGTGTTAAAAAACAAAGAGTTAACGGCTCCGACTAAAGGAGTCATTCACCTGGAGATAGACGTCATCTACAACACCGTGAGTTTCCCTTATTCCTTTCCTGTGAATTCAGTCTGCTAAAATACCTGAAAAAATATCTGAGAGATATCAGAACATTATGTGGGTTTAACATGTCTGAAAACCTTCCAAAAATACTTTAAAAATGTAAGGAAATCATCCCAAAAATATCTACATTTCAGTGAAGAAACATGGGGACGAAGGTCGAAATATTTCTGAAATAATATATTAAAAAATGTACGGAAAATAACATCTGATGATCTTATAGAAAATGCTGTATTGCAGCAGATTAAACCGGTCACCAGTATAAAACGTAGGTGAAATGAGCCTGAAAATATTTGACATAAACTAAAAAACACCAGAATAATGCTTGAAAAAGTCTGAAGAGATTTCCCAAAAATATATGTAAATAAAATGCTGTGGAAAATATCTCAAAACGTTCTGGTAAAATAGATTTAAGACAATAGAATAAATAGTGAAACATTTCCTTTTTTCTGTCTTAAAATATTTGTATTTATGGGTAAACCTTTTGAAGGAACAATGTCTGAAATATTTTAGAAATAATATATAAAAAATGTACAGAAAAATAACATCCGCTGACCTTATAGAATAATGGCTAAAATGAGCCTGAAAATATGTGACTATACCTGAAAACTGCTGGATTAAAGTCTGAAGAGATGTCCCAAAAATATGTAAATAAAATAATTAGGAAAATATCTCGAAACGTTTTGGTAAAATAAATTTTAAAAAATAGAATAAATAGTGAAACATGTCCTTTTTTCTGTCTTCAGGTGAAAGCAGCGATTAAGACGATCGTCCCTGCAGAGCAGAAATACATCGAGGAAGAGCCAAAAGTCTCCAAACAGGTCGATTAATGTGTTTTTATATTTGCTGTGATGGTAAACAGCTACTTAAGTACACACACCTTATAGTAAACGTATTTGAATGTGTGTGTGTTTCAGTTACTGCAGCAGAACTTCAACCGGGTGAAGAGGTGCATCATGGTCCTCATCAGCTATGGCACGTACATCAACAGCTGCTTCGAGTGGGAGTCTGCACAGAGGAGCATCATCTCCTTCGTGGTAACACACACACACACACACACACACACACACACACACACACACACACACACACACACACACACACACACACACACACACACACACACACACACACACACCACACTCAAATAACATAACAAAAGTTCTGTATTTTTCTAAGTTTTGCACAAAAAAATCAGTATTTCTCAAAACAATTACAAGAAACATCTGTGTTTTTGAGAAATGACAAAAAAATCGGTATTTTTCAAGATTTTTTTTTGGTATTTTTCCAAATAAATAAAAAATATTCTTACAATTTCAAAAAAAATGACGTTTGCAAATGATCAATAATAATTTCTTACATTTTCAAAAAGATCTGTATTTTCAACATTTTCCAATTTTTTTTTTAGTATTCCTCAAATTTCTGTAATTTTAACATTTTCAGAAATCATTTTGATATTTTCCTAATTTAAAAAAACAATTACACGCACACACACACACACACACACACACACACACACACACACACACACACACACACACACACACACACACACACACACACACACACACACACACACACACACACACACACACACACTTGCGTACATTCCCTGTGTTCCAGATGTTTGTGCTGGTGGTGTGGAACTTCGAGCTCTACATGCTGCCGCTCGCTCTGCTGCTGCTGCTCGTCTGGAACTATCTGTTCAGCCGAGACACGCCCGACACGGTGAGGAAACTTTATGTGCTCAGCAGCTACAGTACAGTGTAGATATGCAGTGCCGGTTCTAGAGTCTGTGGGGGCCCTAGGCAAACATTCACTGCCCCCCCCCCCCAGAGCGGAGCAAGGCAACAAAGCTTAAGACAAGAAGCAGCATTTTACGGCGCCTTGAGGGGGTTCCCGACATGTCGTTGCAGTAACTTAAAGGGTGTTTCATGTTGTCGTTGCTGTGGACCTTCTTAATCTACCTTCTTTGGGGGGCCCCTTCTGGTCCAGGGCCCCAAGCAGTTGCCTGCCTTGCCTGTTCGCAAGCGGCGGCCCTGTAGATATGGCAATGAAAAACTGAAGTCCCAGGCTCCTCCAGCAGAGCAACATGAATATAGGACATAAAACAAATACAACAAATAATACCAATAAAACAGAGTCACGTCACAGATACTGTCGGCTCGGTTTAAGATGTATGACAAAGAGTAACATGTAACAGGAAATAAATTAGCCCAAATAAATAAAAATGTATTTTAAATGTCACGTTTTTTTCTTTACTATTTTTTCAGGAAATAGCTTTTGGTCCTGCTGCATGCAAAATTAAGGTTTTCTCAAAAATATTCTCTAAATTAATTTCTCTTTCTAAAATAATTTCTGTATTTTTCTAATTTTTCTAAAATAATTTCTGTATTTTTCTAATTTTTCTAAAATACTTTCTGTATTTTTCTAAAATAATCTTCTATATTGTTCTCAATGTTATTGTATGTATTACAAAGAGTGACCTGTTTTATTTCCGGCTGCAGACGATGGAGGCCATGTTTGACTGGGAGGATGTAGAGGAGGATAAAGAGGATAAGGTATGTCGTCATGAATCAGCTGTTTTTATATTTGAGATTTTTTTTACTGAATTAATATTGATTTCTCTCGTGTTATTTAAGGAGTCCGAGCACAAAGGCTTCATGAACAAACTGTACGCCATCCAGGACGTTTTCTTCAGCGTTCAGAACGCTTTGGACGAGGTGGCGTCGAACGGAGAGAGGATCAAGAAGTGGGTATCATCCAAGAAATGAAAACAGTTTTTTATTTACGGTTGGAGGTTTCCTCTCGAGAAGATGAGGGAGTTAAAGCAACTGGGCCGTTGCAGGTCATTGCAAAATCCACCCTCAGCTCCCAGTAACGCAGCTTTGTCATTTGCAGAATTTCTTAGATTTAAGTGATAATTTAGAATAAAAAACATTTTCGAAAGAAAGATCTGAATTGTTTGTTCAGATTTTTCAAATATAAAATCTGTAGTTTTCCAAAAAATATTTTTTTTTTCTTCAAATTTTCCCCCCAAAAAATGATGTAATTTTTCTAAATGTTTCAAAAATTATTTCGGTAATTTTCACATTTTCACCAAAAATTATGTAATTTTTCAAATAGTTTCAGTATTTACAAAAAATGTAGAACTTAAAAAATATATTTCTGTCATTTTAAATGTTTTCAGAAATAATTTCTCTATTTTTCAAAATGTTCTAACAAAGATTCTCTATTTTCCCAAAGCTATGAAAACCGCCTTTAATCTGTGTTCAGGTTAATGTGTATCTATAAATAATTTCTGTATTTCCCCATGCTATACGATCCCCCTTTACTCCATGTTCTCCCCCCCCCCCCTCCAGCACGGTGAACTGGACGGTCCCCTTCCTCAGCTGGCTGGCGATCGCTGCTCTGCTTTCTGCCGTCGTCCTCCTCTACCTCGTCCCTCTGCGCTACCTGGTGCTGATCTGGGGTCAGTGCTAATACCAACAACACAGATACACAAAGTGCTGCTAATACCAACAACACAGATACACAAAGTGCTGCTAATAACACCAACACAGATACACACAGTACTTATAATACACGATATAAATATTTGTCCTGCAGGCGTGAATAAGTTCACAAAGAAGCTGCGCGACCCGTACATGATCGACAACAACGAGCTGCTCGACTTCCTGTCCAGAGTGCCCTCCGACGTGCAGGTGGTGAGTAGCTGCAGAGAGGGGAGGAAAACTGATAAATAAAATATCAAATAATGTGTGAATAGTCCTGATGACTTCAGATATTTAATTTGTCCCACAAAAGGAAAATATTTATGCAGAAATATAATTTTTTCTAAAATAATTTCTGTATTTTTCAATTTTTTCATAAATAATTTCTGTATTTTAAAATGTTTTTAAAAATAAGGTATGTACTGTTTCAAATGTTCACAAATCATTTCTGTATTTTTCAAAATGTTTCAAAATAATTCTAATTCATTTTAATTATTAATTTTACATTTCTTTTAGAATCTCTTAAAATGAATTTCCTTTGTAATATTTTTCAGATGCACTACCGCGAGCTGAGGGTGGATCCGGGTCAGAGTCCCAGCAAACGCAGAAGACCGATTCAAAGTTAGCGTCTCTTCCTGTAAACATGTAAAATAATTTACTTTAAAGGGGAGCTATCATGCAAAATGCACTTTGTGATGTCTTTTATACATAACTATGTGTCCCCGGTGCGTCAGGGAACTCACGCAGCGTCAGGAAATAAAACCCTCTCTCTTTTCCTCCGTACCCAAATCTTTTAAAAGCAATGGTACAACGAGCGGATACAGATTTGCTGCCGATCTGACATCGGCAACTGACCCACAGAGAGTTGCTATCAGAAACAATGCTTGACCTGTTTTGGACGTAATCTCGTCTTTGTTTACATTAGCAAGCCTCGCTAACACTCAGAGCTAACCTGTACTGGAGAGCACGTGTTTAAAAAGCAGGAAATATAAAAAGGAACTCACCTTGTGATAAACCCGCAAGAGAAAAAGCATTTGAGCTCCATACTGTTTCAGAGATAATCCTTGATGTGGTTTAGAACAGGATGGCGTTTTATCACAGCAGAATTTAACTTTATCTCTAGAATTCTGATCAGGCATTAGCTCCGCCTCATCTTTTTTTTTTAAGCTAAGGACCCAAAATCCGCGTTTCTCTAACAGGGCTGCAACAGAGGGGTTTGAGCAGCATGAGGCATGGCTACAGTGGGGGAAGGGTTTGGGATTTGAAGCTAAAAACTTCACAGACATGTTTTGTATGGCCCTACAATATATGTTTCCAATTCAGCATGATAGGTCCACTTTATGTATATTTCTTGTATATTTTCATTAATATGAGGAAGTTATACAATTTCTTTCATTTTTTATTATTATTTGGAAAAACTTATTTTGTAAATCTTGTAAAGAGTATTTTCTTCCTGTAAAAACACAGTGTGCGAAATGTACATGTGTGTGATGAGTGTGTATGTTACACAGAGTATGCATGTACTGAATGAAGGCGTGCCGCTGCTGCATGAAGGTTTTATTCATTGTTTACTGCTGTTTTTAACTCTGTGTCCGTAGAGATGCATGAACTCACTGTGACTCCATGTACTGCAGTATTTATACACACTCAGTCAGTATGTCAGATCCTCCGAAGGTTGAAAATGAAAACGGTTTTTTTAACAGTATCTGCTCTGTAACATAAAAAAGATAATACTTAGAGCAGCGGTTCCCAACCTGTGGGCCGCGGCCCCTTAGTGGTTCGTGAAGGCATTGCAAGTGGGCCGCCAAATTATTATTTTTATTTTTTTGTTGTACAGGCTAAAGACACAAACATGGACATAACAATAACATATAGGAGATGACATTCCCATCTCAGACAACAACAAAACAAAAACAGAAGAAATAAAGATACAGTCAGAAGGATCACTTCAACATTTCACAAACAAAAATAGGTTGACGACCAAAAACCACCAAAAACACAACATGGCATATTTATTGTTCCTTTGATCCCACTCTTCGTTAGAGCTCATTATTTCCCATTTCATGCCGTGTTCAGCCTTTGAGTTTTTGTGACAATATTTTTTTCCAAAAGAAAAACCTTAAATTAAGATCACTCCTTGATTGACTTTTAAAAAGATGTATTTCAGCCAGAAGAATAGTTGTGTTTATGAACTGTGTGCGGTCTTCATCTAAAAGCCCAAAATGTAAATTCAATATTTGCCGCCAAATAATTTGCAAAACATGATTTGTGTGGAAACATTTCATTATTAAGATTTTTGTTTTTTAAATTTATTTTCCTTTCTCTTTCTTGATCCTCCATTACAGTCCTTAGCAACAGTCATTACAGTCCTTAGCAACGGCATTACAGTCCTTAGCAACGTCATTACAGTCCTTAGCAACGGTCATTACAGTCCTTGACAGCGGTCTGTTCTACTGGATTAGCAACGTGTCAGAACTTCATTTAGCCTCGGTATTGTTTATGGTTGAATGTGGGCCGCGAAAACATTTTTGATTCTTAAGTGGGCCCTGAGTAGAAAAAGGTTGGAACTGCTGACTTAGAGGATTTTAGTGGCAACTTGTTCAATAATATATATATATATTTTGTATTATTGTTTTGCAGGCTTAAGGGACATTCTTTCATTTTTGCACGCATGGAGTTTAGATCATTAATGGATAAAATCATTTAAAAAGAAAATTAGTCTTAACCAAATACAATCTTTTACGTCAATGCACGAGCAATACAATTAATGTTATTATTGTAACTGTAACAATGAGCAATAATATACATTTAGTTTGTATAAAAGCTCCACCAAAAAGGTTTACTTATTTTAACACTTCAACTTCATTTATTTTATATTAAATAAAAACAATTATCGTATTATTTTGCAGGTTAAAGAGGCATTTCACCATATAGATGGGAGTAACACGTGTCACTTCGAAGCCGTACTTTTTGCCCGGAAGTGGCGCATGTGTTACTCTCATGTATAGACAATTGCTTAATTAATTGAATACGTAATAAAAATATTAATCTAACGACATTTAAAAAATAACTTCCATATTTATTTTTGTATTTAACTTAACGCAGGATTTTTTACTTTTAATTAAAAACAAATCTGAAGTCTTCCTCCACCGTGTTTTTTAAACGAGACGTGGTTTTACTTATTTGAACTAGTATTATTTTATAAATTAATGAAAGTATTGCGTTCATTAAATGTCTAAGAAGCCATATCTGTGTTTAAAATAAGAGCATGTATAAAGAGAAAAATGTATAAAACTTGTATATTATCTATTTTTATTTCATTGTTTTATTTAGGTATTTTTAATCCTTATATCCAGATTATTATTTTTTTAAATAACTCATCTTTACGTCCATTTATTTTCATTTTTTAACGTCGAATTTATGCATTTTGACGTATTCTCCCCTCTCAAAATGTATTTTATTTCCCTTTTATTTGCTGCTTTGTTCCTCCGGGTGTTGTGTCGTCCTCTCTGCAGTACTTCAGGTTTTCGAGTGTGATTTCCTGCATGTCTGTGTGTAAATGTGTCATTTTGTACGTGTCAAAGTGTGTCTGCATGACTGAAATATAAGTGCATTAATGGATACTGAATGTATTTAAGATGTGACGTCAGATCCACCTGAGCTGCAGGTAAAGAATCACATCTTCTGTCAGTTTGCACATGAATCTGTGTCCTGTTGCATTGTGGGTATTTGCTGCTGAGATTACAGGCCGGCTGTAATGACTGTGTAGTTTGTCTGAGAAAATATATTTCTACACAGATCAGAAGACTCCTGTTTTTGTTATTATTACTTGAGTATGGTGTATTTCCATGTTCTGCTACTTTGTACTTCTGCTCCACTAACTCAGAGGTACATGATGTACTTTTACTCCACTACAGTTCAGAGGTACATGATGTACTTTTACTCCACTACAGTTCAGAGGTACATGGTGTACTTTTACTCCACTACAGTTCAGAGGTACATGGTGTACTTTTCCTCCACTACATGTATGTAATACCTTTAGTTACTCTACAGATGTGGACAGGGCCGTTTCTAGCTTTTTGGGGGCCCTATGCAAGATGCTGTTTGGGGGCCCTAGTTTTGAGAGTTCCGAAGCCTTTAAGATAATCTGTGGAGACGCATCAATCTGTTACACTTTAATAGGAAAACAGGCTAATTTCACGAAAACCAAGCAATTGAAACTTACAAAAAATGATATTAAAAAGGTAAACAATAAGGCTCCTCTATGTCAATAAATGCAAGAGATGCAGCATTTTCTCAACAATGTTTAATTTACATGTTTCCTCTTCCTCAGACGTTGGGCTGTCAGCCCATGATTTGGACTTTATTACCCCAAAAACCCACAGCTTTGCTATCATTGCAGTTTAGTCGTGTTTATATCCTACATTGGATTTGTAAGCATATAATGCTTCACCGAACACACAGTGGCGACTGGTCATTAGGGGCAGGTGGGGGCACAGCCCCACCTAGTGTCAGCAGAAAGTATTACAAATAATGATTACAAAAAAATGCAAAAAATAAATAACAAAATATATTTTAAGATCATGTTTAATCATCTGATTCGTCTCATTGCTGTTTTAGTCTGTGTTCTTCTAATTAGTGTCTACAGTGTGTGCCTATTGAGCTGTTTAGAGCCATGTGGGACAAAACCCGATCCTGCCCCTCCCTCTCACTGTCGAAGTGAACGGTGACTGTAAAAACTACACTGCGCATGCTCAGAGTATTTTCCTATTTAATGTGTGTGGCAAAAAAATAATGCCCATAGGGGCATAGAGCTGCCATCCCCACCATACGTCATCTCACATCATTCAGAGCTGATTGGCTGTAAGTACGTGTGCTGTGAAAAGTGTGGTGTGTGAAGAGGAGACGAGAGAGCTGCAGTCCTAAAACCAGGAAGTAAGCTGCGCATGGCTTCCCTCCACAAAAAAGCAATGAGATTTCTCCATAGGGTTTTAGAAAATAGCTCAAAATAAGATCTGTGGGAAACAAACCTGTTAGATAAATGCACGTTTTGTCATACCCTACTTTTATAATTTTATAATCATAAATCCATCATTTAGATTTATGATAGACTTTTGAAACTACAAGAACATAAGGAGGACTTTTACAAAAAAGTAAGATATTTTTGTCCAGAGGGATAGGCAAATGGACTTCCTCTTCAAGTCAAGGACTGCAATTTTATTGAAAATGGGATCTTACTAAGAGAGAACAATTCAATATTTAAATGATCAAATTAAATGTTTTGGGTATCCTTTTGTTGAACTGTCTGTTTAAAATTAATTGAAGCATCAGACAAAAGAGGCTTTTGAAAATAATATTATATTTTGATTTAGGTCAAAATATAATATTTGTAAACCTGAAGAGTCAGAGCCTCAGCAGCCATGAACCTCACTGCAGAAGCTTATATATAGACATCTACGTTTTTTGTGCCCCACCACTTTTGTACATATAAAAAACGCCACTGCCAACACAGGAGGGGGCTTGGCTGTCTACAAATAAAGACGGCTCATTTTAATTCTCCCCAAATATATTGAGGCTGAACCTGAACTTTGAATTCTCTGCTCCCATCATAATCTTGGCAATCTTGTTAAAATTGTGAATGCAGAATTAAAAATACTATGTAACTGGTTTGCAGTTAATAAATGATCCCTTAATGTGGCCCAAACAAATTACATGTTATTCAATACAAAGTCTGAGAGTAGAAATGACTGCATTATACGGATTTGCAATACAGAGATAGAAAAAGTTGGTGGATGTACATTTTTAGGACTGCTTGTTGAGGAAAAACTCAATTGGAAGCACCATATAAAAGATGTACAGACTAAACTGTCAAAAACAATAGGTATTTTGTATCATACTAAGAACATTCTTGAAGAAAACATACTCTTTATAACAGTCTGTTTCTCCCTTACCTTTACTACTGCTCCGAAATATGGGGAAACACGTACTCAACAAATCTACAAAAAATAATAACGTCCCAAAATAAAGCATTACGAATAGTCTGTGGTAAATATGAACACACAACTCCCATCTTTAAAAACACTCAATCTATTCAAATGTGTTGAGAGAGTACAGCTTAACACAGTACTGATTATTCACAACATGTTCCATAAGGAAATGCCTAATAACATTCAAAAGCAGTTCCAAACCACAGCGGGAACATATGAATGTAGAAAAAGTCACTTGAAAATAAGTGTTCACAATGTTTATATGCAATTATGCATATATTATTATTCATTTGCCAAGTGCATGTGTACCTATGTATATATTTATATATAGTATTTTAATTTCCAAAAAAAGATAGTTGAAACTGCTATTGACATGTGCAGAAAATGACCCTATATTTTTCGTATATATATATATATATATATATGCATTTATTGTTTTCCTGCCCTAACTTTTATTTAATTGTTTCTCCTGTTTTCCTTATTTCTTTGTACTCCTTCATTTCTATACATTTTTGACGCAATAATGTCGCTGTATTAGGATGATGCACGGGAGGGCTACTTTCCACAAGCTGCTTCAGCCCTCCCACTTCTACTAATTTTGTTCATCTTTGTGTGTATGAATTAAACTTTTTTTGTTTTTCGGATGAATAAAAAAAAATAAAAAAATACTTTCAGCTTGGGGGCCCCCTAGTGGCCGCGGGGGCCCTATGCATAGTCCGCCTATAGGAAGAAACGACCCTGGATGTGGATGAAGGATGTGAAATATAATCAAGTGTTGAATCAGACTTTAGTTCCACCTGGAGTAAATCCACCAGCTACCCTGCAGAATACAAAGTACTTCAAACTAGCTGCACCTTCACCAGCTTTGAGAACACTTTCATGATCAATCATTATAAAACATATCATATATATTATTCTGAAATGGACCAATCTGCACAACGACTACTTTTACTGTCTTTCACTATATTTTGATGAGAATACTTTTCTACTTTCACTTGAGGAACATTTTGAATGCAGGACTTTGACTGTAACAGAGTATTCCTACACTCTGGTACTTCTACTTTTACTCAAGTACAAGACCGGAGTACTTCTACTTTTACTCAAGAACAAGATCTGAGTACTTCTACTTTTACTCAAGTACAAGATCTGAGTACTTCTACTTTTACTCAAGTAGACGATCTGAGTACTTCTACTTTAACACAAGAACAAGATCTGGGTACTTCTACTTTTACTCAAGTACAAGATCTGAGTATTTCTACTTTTACTCAATACAATATCTGAGTACTTCTACTTTTACTCAAGTACAAGATCTGAGTACTTCTACTTTTACTCAAGTACAAGATCTGAGTACTTCTACTTTTACTCAAGTACAAGATCTGAGTACTTCTACTTTTACTCAAGTACAAGATCTGAGTACTTCTACTTTTACTCAAGTACAAGATCTGAGTACTTCTACTTTTACTCAAGTACAAGATCTGAGTACTTCTACTTTTACTCAAGTACAAGATCTGAGTACTTCTACTTTTACTCAAGTACAAGATCTGAGTACTTCTACTTTTACTCAAGTACAAGATCTGAGTACTTCTACTTTTACTCAAGTACAAGATCTGAGTACTTCTACTTTTACTCAAGTACAAGATCTGAGTACTTCTACTTTTACTCAAGTACAAGATCTGAGTACTTCTACTTTTACTCAAGTACAAGATCTGAGTACTTCTACTTTTACTCAAGTACAAGATCTGAGTACTTCTACTTTTACTCAAGTACAAGATCTGAGTACTTCTACTTTTACTCAAGTACAAGATCTGAGTACTTCTACTTTTACTCAAGTACAAGATCTGAGTACTTCTACTTTTACTCAAGTACAAGATCTGAGTACTTCTACTTTTACTCAAGTACAAGATCTGAGTACTTCTACTTTTACTCAAGTACAAGATCTGAGTACTTCTACTTTTACTCAAGTACAAGATCTGAGTACTTCTACTTTTACTCAAGTACAAGATCTGAGTACTTCTACTTTTACTCAAGTACAAGATCTGAGTACTTCTACTTTTACTCAAGTACAAGATCTGAGTACTTCTACTTTTACTCAAGTACAAGATCTGAGTACTTCTACTTTTACTCAAGTAAAGATCTGAGTACTTCTACTTTTACTCAAGTATAAGATCTGGGTAATTCTACTTTTACTCAAGTATAAGATCTGAGTACTTCTCCCATTCTGTCTTTTTTAAGTCTATGCTCGCGCTGTTAGCTTTAAGAACTACACTTCCCAGGATGCTTTGCGGGCTCTATGCAGGAAGTTTAAAGTCATGAGTCAGTTAGCAGCTATTTATAGCCTGTGTTTGTTTACATGTATTAAAGTAGCGTGCAGACTGATCTGTCAGCTGAGCCTCTGGATCACTTTCATAAAGAAGAAGATGAAACAGGAGGATTTTCAGCGACTTTTTCTGGTATTTCAATTTAAATTCTGGGCCAGGGAAAAAGTTCTCATCGTATAATGTAAGTTTTTCAAAAATGTGTTCAAATCAAATGTTATTCGTCTAAAGTCTTTATTGTGTAGGCCTATATTAATATTGTTGTTATTTATTTATTTGTATGTTTGTTTATTTTTTTTATTTAGGTTATTCATTTATTAATTGTTATGTTTACTTGATTAGTGTCACATGTTTTTTTACTGTACATTTCATATCTGTATTTTTCAAATGTATTTATTAGTTACTTCTAATTTATATTATTTTAAATATAAAATATATCATATTGCGTTAGATTTTTTAAAATAATGTTTGTATTGATCATTTATTTTTATCTTTTCTCATGACATGATTATCTTAATTTTTCCAAAGTGACATTTAACATTTAGTTTTAAATTATTTTGTATTGTTATTATTATTATTATTTTCTCATTATAAGATATTCTTTTATATTTTATTTAGAAATATTTTATCTTAAAAGTTTTATTTTTCACGTCATTTTAAGATTATTTTACTTTACTTTAATCTTGTGTTGCAGTTAAACTACTCCCCTTGTTTTAGAGAATATTGTCACAGCAGCTCTTCGTCCACTAGAGGGACTCGTGTTCCTTTATTAGAGCCATCAACATCAGCAGGAGAGGACTCTTTAAAGTAGATACACTACATACTGATATACACCTGAACATCAGCAGGAGAGGACTCTTTAAAGTAGAGACACTACATACTGATATACACCTGAACATCAGCAGGAGAGGACTCTTTAAAGTAGAGACAACTACATACTGATTACACCTGAACATCAGGAGGAGAGGACTCTTTAAAGTAGATACACTACACTGATATACACCTGAACATCAGCAGGAGAGGACTCTTTAAAGTAGAGACACTACATACTGATATACACCTGAACATCAGCAGGAGAGGACTCTTTAAAGTAGAGACACTACATACTGATATACACCTGAACATCAGCAGGAGAGGACTCTTTAAAGTAGAGACACTACATACTGATATACACCTGAACATCAGCAGGAGAGGACTCTTTAAAGTAGAGACTACATACTGATATACACCTGAACATCAGCAGGAGAGGACTCTTTAAAGTAGAGACACATACTGATATACACCTGAACATCAACAGGAGAGGACTCTTTAAAGTAGAGACACTACATACTGATATACACCTGAACATCAGCAGGAGAGGACTCTTTAAAGTAGAGACACTACATACTGATATACACCTGAACATCAGCAGGAGAGGACTCTTTAAAGTAGAGACACTACATACTGATATACACCTGAACATCATCAGAGAGGACTCTTTAAAGTAGAGACACTACTACTGATATACACCTGAACATCAGCAGGAGAGGACTCTTTAAAGTAGAGACACTACATACTGATATACACCTGAACATCAGCAGGAGAGGACTCTTTAAAGTAGAGACACTACATACTGATATACACCTGAACATTAGCAGGAGAGGACTCTTTAAAGTAGAGACACTACATACTGATATACACCTGAACATCAGCAGGAGAGGACTCTTTAAAGTAGAGACACTACATACTGATATACACCTGAACATCAGCAGGAGAGGACTCTTTAAAGTAGAGACACTACATACTGATATACACCTGAACATCAGCAGGAGAGGACTCTTTAAAGTAGAGACACTACATACTGATATACCCCCTGAACATTAGCAGGAGAGGACTCTTTAAAGTAGAGACACTACATACTGATATACACCTGAACATCAGCAGGAGAGGACTCTTTAAAGTAGAGACACTACATACTGATATACACCTGAACATCAGCAGGAAGGACTCTTTAAAGTAGAGACACTACATACTGATATACAACCTGAACATCAGCAGGAGAGGACTCTTTAAAGTAGAGACACTACATACTGATATACACCTGAACATCAGCAGGAGAGACTCTTTAAAGTAGAGACACAACTGATATACACCTGAACATCAGCAGGAGAGGACTCTTTAAAGTAGAGACACTACATACTGATATACACCTGAACATCAGCAGGAGAGGACTCTTTAAAGTAGAGACACTACATACTGATATACACCTGAACATCAGCAGGAGAGGACTCTTTAAAGTAGAGACACTACATACTGAGATACACCTGAACATCAGCAGGAGAGGACTCTTTAAAGTAGAGACACTACATACTGATATACACCTGAACACCGCAGGAGAGGACTCTTTAAATTAGAGACACTACATACTGATATACACCTGAACATCAGCAGGAGAGGACTCTTTAAAGTAGAGACACTACATACTGATATACCTGAACATCAGCAGGAGAGGATCTTTAAAGTAGAGACACTACATACTGATATACACCTGAACATCAGCAGGAGAGGACTTTTAAAGTAGAGACCAGACTGATATACACCTGAACATCAGCAGGAGAGGACTCTTTAAAGTAGAGACACTACATACTGATAGACACCTGAACATCAGCAGGAGAGGACTCTTTAAAGTAGAGACACTACATACTGATATACACCTGAACATCAGTGGAGAGGACTCTTTAAAGTAGAGACTACATACTGATATACACCTGAACATCAGCAGGAGAGGACTCTTTAAAGTAGAGACACATACTGATATACACCTGAACATCAGCAGGAGAGAGGACTCTTTAAAGTAGACATACATACTGATATACACCTGAACATCAGCAGGAGAGGACTCTTTAAAGTAGAGACACATACTGATATACACCTGAACATCAGCAGGAGAGGACTCTTTAAAGTAGAGACACTACATACTGATATACACCTGAACATCAGCAGGAGAGGACTCTTTAAAGTAGAGACACATATACTGATAACACCTGAACATCAGCAGGAGAGAGGACTCTTTAAAGTAGAGACACTACATACTGAGATACACCTGAACATCAGCAGGAGAGGACTCTTTAAGTAGAGACACTACATACTGATATACACCTGAACATCAACAGGAGAGGACTCTTTAAATTAGACACTACATACTGATATACACCTGAAACATCAGCAGGAGAGGGACTCTTAAGTAGAGACACTACATACTGATATACACCTGAACATCAGCAGGAGAGGACTCTTTAAAGTAGAGACACTAATACTGATATACACCTGAACATCAGCAGGAGAGGACTCTTTAAAGTAGAGACACTACATACTGATATACACCTGAAACATCAGCAGGAGAGGACTCTTTAAAGTAGAGACACTACATACTGATATACACCTGACATCAGCAGGAGAGGACTCTTTTAAAGTTAGAGACACTTACATACTGAGATACACCTGAACATCAGCAGGAGAGGACTCTTTAAAGTAGAGACACTACATACTGATATACACCTGAACATCAGCAGGAGAGGACTCTTTAAAGTAGAGACACACATACTGATATACACCTGAACATCAGCAGGAGAGGCCTCTTTAAAGTAGAACCCCTACATACTGATATACACCTGAACATCAGCAGGAGAGGACTCTTTAAAGTAGAGACACTACATACTGATATACACCTGAACATCAGCAGGAGAGGACTCTTTAAAGTAGAGACACTACATACTGATATACACCTGACAATCAGCAGGAGAGAGGACTCTTTAAAGTAGAGACACTACATACTGATATACACCTGAACATCAGCAGGAGAGGACTCTTTAAAGTAGAGACACTACATACTGATATACACCTGAACATCAGCAGGAAGAGGACTCTTTAAAGTAGAGACACTACATACTGATATACACCTGAACATCAGCAGGAGAGGACTCTTTAAAGTAGAGACACTACATACTGATATACACCTGAACATCAGCAGGAGAGGACTCTTTAAAGTAGAGACACTACATACTGATATACACCTGAACATCAGCAGGAGAGGACTCTTTAAAGTAGAGACACTACATACCCTAACATCAGCAGGAGAGGACGCTTAAAGTAGAGACCACCATACTGATATACACCTGAACATCAGCAGGAGAGGGACTCCTTTAAAGTAGAGGACACTACATACTGATATACACCTGAAACATCAGCAGGAGAGGACTCTTTAAAGTAGAGAACACATACTGATATACACCTGAACATCAGCAGGAGAGGACTCTTTAAAGTAGAGACACTACATACTGATATACACCTGAACATCAGGCAGGAGAGGACTCTTTAAAGTAGAGACACTACATACTGATATACACCTGAACATCAGCAGGAGAGGACTCTTTAAAGTAGAGACACTACATACTGAGATACACCTGAACATCAGCAGGAGAGGACTCTTTAAAGTAGAGACACTACATACTGATATACACCTGAACATCAGCAGGAGAGGACTCTTTAAAGTTAGAGACACACATCCTGACTATACACCTGAACATCAGCAGGAGAGGACTCTTTAAAGTAGAGACACTACATACTGATATACACCTGAACATCAGCAGGAGAGGACTCTTTAAAGTAGAGACACTACATACTGATATACACCTGAACATCAGCAGGAGAGGACTCTTTAAAGAGACACACATATACTTTAGTTAAATATCTTCTTCCACCATTTATTACAAATGTATTTCAGTAAATGTCCTTAGAGGACACATCATACTCTCAGTATTTGTAAACACTAAAAAGTGTGTGTGTGTCCTGTGTGTGTGTGTGTGTGTGTGTGTGTGTGTGTGTGTGTGTGTGATGTGTGTGTGTGTGTGTGATGTGTGTGTTGTGTGTGGTGTGTGTGTGTGTGTGTGTGTGTGTGTGTGTGTGTGTGTGTGTGTGTGTGTGTGTGTGTGTGTGTGTGTGTGTGTGTGTGTGTGTGTGTGTGTGTGTGTGTGTGTGTGTGTGTGTGTGTGTGTGTGTGTGTGTGTGTGTGTGTCGTGTGTGTGTGTGTGTGTGTGTGTGTGTGTGTGTAGCGGCTGCGCACATGCTCAGTTGAGATTATTTTTGCGCACGGAGGCTTTAAGAGCTCGCGGCAGCGTGAGCAGGCAGCAGAGGACCGAAGAGAGAGAGAGAAACACCGGGAGCTTCGCGTACAGCTGGCCCAGCAGCGGTGCCTCTCTCTCGGATGAACGAGCACCGTAACACCCCGCCGCCCTCGGCTCTTTGGCTTGGGCACCCGGAGGTCAGGCGAATGTGCCAAACGCTTTTACGCGCAACTTAAAGACTCTTTTTGAATATAATTGTGTTCTCACCATGGGGCTGGGAAAAGTGAGGGTCTTGGCTATATTATTCGACAGCCTGAATGATAACAACCTGCCCGCCTTCTCTGGGGGAGATCTGGTGTCTGGGAGGGTGGTGGTGGAGGTGACCGGGGATGTGCGTGTGAAAAGTCTGGATGTAACCGCACGAGGGGTCGCAAAAGTCCGATGGACCGAGTCTAGAAACACCGGGGCCAACACGGCTTACACCCAGAACTACACCGAGGAGGTGGAGTACCTTCACCACTACGACACCCTGATAGGAGAGGAGAGAGGTAAGCATACATGTGCAAACTTCTCACAAAACTTTATTAATAACAGCGAGTCGAACAGAGCCCCAAAACCTCCATCAGTGAGTGGTGCTGATGCAACAGCTGAGGCACTCCGCGGCGCTTCCCCTCACGTAAGACACACTCATGGATCATCACATTTTACATGTTAGGGTGAATAAAAAGGCATTTTGTGACTGATGTAAGACACGTTGAGGTGCTGTTAGCTGCGGGGAGAGAAGTTGCGGTCCATGTTTGCGTAAAAAGGAGCGAAATCGTGACAGAATCGAAAATAAATTTTGTTTTTCCGCATGTTTTTTGCAATATTTAGTCATAGTAAAAAGGGGAATACACATTTTAACTGAATTCATCCTGAAGCTAGGCTCGCTATCAGGCAACTCCCTTTGTTCGAAGCGGTTCAAACCTGTTCAGAAACTGCCAGAGAGGAGGGGGGAGGACCCGGCTGAGTGTGTGTGTGTGTGTGTGCGTGTGTGTGTGCGCGCGTGCGTCAGTGTGTGTGTGTGTGTGTGTGTGTGTGTGTGTGTGTCAGCTGATTGTTGAGCCTCTCTCACCACATCCTCCTCCACCTGTGTTCTTTTCTGTTTTCACTTGTTACATGAGATGCACGCGATGATCCAGAGGACAGTTACATTTCATTGAAACCCTCCATGTGACGTCACTTCCCACCAGTTTCATACTCAGTGTGAGGGTCTACGAACTAGTGGGGGCATTTAAGGACACGTGTTGTTGGACCTCATGAAGAAGAAAAAAAGGGAGTCTCCGAGGAGGATTGCATGCATGTCTTTATCTGCAGACTGAACGCACTTCCTGTCAGAGTTTTGTTTATTATCGGATAATAATAATCAGGGTAAAAAGTTAGGAAGTAAAAAAAAGGTTATTTCACTTTCAGGGATTCTTTTATTTAATCAGAAAATGCCCACAATGTTCATTTGTTGAAGCTCTTGATTGTATTCAAGTGGATTAAAACAACACATATTTCAATGTAAAGGGACTTAAATAAAAATACCAAAACATTTAAATAAGTAAAATAAAATGATTGGATTAGGGTGGGAAAAGGATATATGGGTATATATTAAAAATATTTAATGCAGAACAGGAATGCCACACAAGGTTTATTTTTGTTTAATTCAGTAGAATAAACAAACAAATAAAATAATGGTAAAAATAATACAATTTAAAATAAATAAAAATACAAAAAAACGTTTTATCACTAATACTAATAATTCAAAAATAATTGTGATTCTAATATTAATAGCAATAATGATTAAAATAGAGAAGCAGAGGTGTACAAATTCATTTCCGCATATTGTAATCACATAATGCGTTAATTATGTATTAATGGCTCAAAAAGTTAAAAGAAATGCATTTTCAAGAAAGCTGACAAGGGAAGGACGCAATCTGCAACTCTAAAACATTGGTAAATAGTTTATTTATCTTTCAATAAAAAACTATTTACCCTGGGGGTATACTATGAATCTGGTTCAACCTAACCTGGATATGTTTGAGTTAGCCGGTTGGCCTAATCCAAAACATACGCGCTCTCGCTAAGCGGTCCTACGACGCGGGTTATCAAGTGGATCGCTCAAGCCAGCCGTGTCCTATCTAGCTAGGTGCACGTTCACATGAAAGTGCGGTATCTGGAGCATTCGACCAATCACAAACAGGGAGAAGCGTACTGACAGCGCAGCGTCATACTTCCTGAATGAAAAGTCAACTATAATATTAGACATATGAAGAAGTTAAACTTTAAACATCCATGACTTAAACACTTGATCCAGGATCAAAGCCACAGAGCTGCACCTGCAAGGTGAACACAGCTGGGAACAGAACAAGTGTTTGAATGCGTACATTAACAGGTTTATGATATCACTGCCCCTCTAAGACACCATCTGACTTTCATTACATCTGACTCCAGTGTTTCCTCAACTTAATGTGTTGCTTAAAATAATCCTTCTGCATCCAGTCTGTGACACTGTGAGTGTTGCACGGCCAGATACGGCTCAGCTGACTCAGATAAGAAAATATATGATACATTATGAAGTGATATGAATGATAATGGGACACATCGACGTCTGCACTCACAGTGCCACGGACTGTGGCAACGTAATGTTACTCTGATCCGGTTACTTATGTTGTGGCAGATATTTCAGTAAGCTTTCTTAACACTAATATTATAATAGTCAGATTGCTCTGAAGATGGAGGTGATGTTCTATTCATTTTCACGTTCACGCAGTCGGTGATTTTGGCCGGCCGTCTTTCCTGCAACGGCATTAAACTGTATTTCCTCCGCACACTGAGCTCTGATTGGTCAGCAGGCGTGGTGCTTTCGCTGAGTTGATCTCTTATCCTGGAACCTATCCTGCTTCGGAGCACAGACTAGGTTCCAGGATAAATCACCATGGAGATCTAGCCCGCTAAAAAGTGAACCAACTTCTCGTCTGGTCTCGTGTGAACGGACGCGTTAAATGAGCCGTGTGAACGGAAGACTTTTTTGAAAACGAATACGGTGCGTAAACGCAAACGCTCCCGTTTCGTTCTCGTGTAAATGGGGCCTAAAAATAAGGTCATATGTAAATAATGACGTTAGGTTCCATTACACCGTTGAGTTTTACACCAGAAAATGTAACTACCATCCCAATTAAGTTAAAAACGAACGACGTGATCCATATCAAGGGTTTGTTTACGTCATTTTGTGAACATTGGAAATACATTTATCAATATCGGACTCCAGTAGGAAGTTTGTTTCACATTAAGGCAGTAACTACTAGTCACTTGTATTATCAATTAAATAGAATGATATGTCCGTCACAATTCACTAAAACCTCCATGTCACGAACACTATAACAATATATTTAGTTTACTATCAAATGAGACAAAAAAGTGAATATTTGTTGGCCTTTCTGCTTGAAAAACTCAAAATATGAATTGATTTCTCTGCAAAATACATGAGTATAGTGTCTTCCCTTGTTAACACCATCTATACAATAATGTCAAATAAACCCTAAAGTGTGATAAATAAGCCCATGGGAGTTGAAACCTGCAGAAATGAACCTTTTGAAAAGATTTCTATTGTTTGTACAAGTTGTTTGGAAGTTGAAGATGTTAAAAGTGTACCAAAAGACATCAAGACGTAATGCTGTTTTCTATGTTGTATTTCTTGTGTTTAAATGTGATGAAATAAAACGCTGTTAGTGTGAAAGACGTTTCTCTCCTGTCATCATTTATTCAACTTTGCGTGAGAGTTTTCTACCTCCCTCTTCATCTCGTGCAACACACCACATGGCTGTACAAATGCTGGGAGGGCTTGTCTGGGCTGAACCAATCAGATCGCAGCATGTCATACAATATCACACTTCTCCACCAATGGGAGGTCACGTTGTAGTGCATGCGTTGGGGTTGGAGTTTCCAGCTGAAGAGGCTGCTCAGGCTGGTTCATACCGGTCTGCTCCTGCTGAGCACACTCACTCACACTCACACACACACACACACACACACACACACACACACACGCACACACACACGCGCACACACACGCACACACGCACACACACACACACACACACACACACACAGACACAGACACACACACGGTGATGCAGGCTGAATGTGTGCTGAGGTGGCAGGAAGTTTAACGGAGACATTTAATCTGAGATATACACACACAAACAGAGAAATGAGGAAGTAGACGGAGGTCGAATTTTTTTTTGACCACAGAGTCACTTCTGCTTCTGACCACAGGGTGTGTTACTTCTGCTTCTGACCACAGGGTCACTCCTGCTTCTGACCACAGGGTTACTCCTGCTTCTGACCACAGGGTGGGTTACTCCTGCTTCTGACCACAGGGTGGGTTACTCCTGCTTCTGACCACAGGGTCACTTCTGCTTCTGACCACAGGGTCACTTCTCCTTCTGACCACAGGGTCACTTCTGCTTCTGACCACAGGGTCACTCCTGCTTCTGACCACAGGGGTCACTTCTGCTTCTGACCACAGGGTCACTCCTGCTTCTGACCACAGGGTCACTTCTGCTTCTGACCACAGGGTCACTCCTGCTTCTGACCACAGGGTGTGTTACTCCTGCTTCTGACCACAGGGTCACTTCTGCTTCTGACCACAGGGTTACTCCTGCTTCTGACCACAGGGTTACTCCTGCTTCTGACCACAGGGTCACTTCTGCTTCTGACCACAGGGTGTGTTACTCCTGCTTCTGACCACAGGGTTACTCCTGCTTCTGACCACAGGGTCACTTCTGCTTCTGACCACAGGGTCACTCCTGCTTCTGACCACAGGGTGTGTTACTCCTGCTTCTGACCACAGGGTCACTTCTGCTTCTGACCACAGGGTGTGTTACTCCTGCTTCTGACCACAGGGTCACTTCTGCTTCTGACCACAGGGTGTGTTACTTCTGCTTCTGACCACAGGGTGTGTTACTTCTGCTTCTGACCACAGGGTGTGTTACTCCTGCTTCTGACCACAGGGTCACTTCTGCTTCTGACCACAGGGTGTGTTACTTCTGCTTCTGACCACAGGGTCACTTCTGCTTCTGACCACAGGGTCACTCCTGCTTCTGACCACAGGGTGTGTTACTCCTGCTTCTGACCATCAGGGTGTGTTACTCCTGCTTCTGACCACAGGGTGTGTTACTTCTGCTTCTGACCACAGGGTGTGTTACTCCTGCTTCTGATGAGGGGTCATGGTGGCGTTTACTCAAATACGGCGATACAAACATGAATGAAGTCGTTTTGTTGCCAAGTAGTTTCCTTCGCAAGGAGTTCAATGTTAGTGCAAAAAAAACATAAGAAAAAAATTGTGAAGAAAATGTAATGAAATAAAAGCAGAAATAACAATAATTAATAACAATTTTACAAAATTAAATAAAAGCAAAAATAGCAACAAAATAAATAATAAAATAAAAGATAAAAAATATCATACAAATAAAAAATCATAAAAAAAGATATGAAGACAGATATAGCAAAACATACAAAATAAAATAAATTGTAATTATGTCAGAAATGACCAAAATCTATGAAAAATTAAATAAAAGCAGAAATAATAAAAGTAAAAAAAGAAATGCAAATAAAAACCTAAAAATATTGACATGACGTCTGAATTAAAATGCCAAATCTGAAGCAAAGAAACCTTATATTTCAGTAAGAGGTCTCCATGTTGTTTGCTTTGAACATCCATCAGTGCATCTGGATATAACATATATATAAGCAGGAAATCTACATATTTTAAGGAGTGACAAACTGCAATTTCTTCATGTAAAACGACTGAAAGCGAACCATTAACGTTGCTTTCTTGACTCAATCCTCCTCTAACAGGCGCAGATAAACCCTCTGATGTTAACGTCACGTGACATTTATTACATACATGTGTTTCTAACCTCCAGACGAGGACTGTCCGGAGGAGGGTCTGACTGTTCTGCACGCCGGCTTGCACGAGTTCGCCTTCAGCTTCAACCTGCCTCAGATGTGAGTAATAAAGTACATTTACTCAAGTACAACTTCAAGGTACTTTCCTTCAGTGTGTACATGTACTGCTACATCATACCTCTCCACTTGTACTTTTACTGTTCCACAAACCATTAAAACTTCAGTGGTTGTAATGGTGTGTTAAATATCTGTTTCTCTGTATCCTCCTTTTTTTCCATTTCATTTCAAACCTTTATTTAATCAGATTGGTCCCATTGAGATCATAGATCTCCTTTTCAAGGGAGACCTGCAGCATATCGGTTCCACATGAAACATAAAACAATAAAGGACATCATACATTATATTTACAGGATACATTTACAAGTGCCCATAGTATCAACGAGCATTTCATTTAGCCTAGCTTTAAAAACATGCAGAGGAATGAGATTGCTCAGTTTCAATTCTTGCTGAAGATTGTTCCAAGCAAGTGGAGCTGCACATAAAAGCTGTCTTACCTAAGACAGTCCTTGCTCTTGGCACATCTAACAATACTACATCATGCGACCTCAGACAATAGCTGCTTGCAACTCTCTGTGTTATCAGAGAGCAGATATAATACGGGAGTTTACCCAACAAAGCTTTATAAATAAACGTTGTTTGGTGTTGCAAATGGAGCTGCTGAAACATGTCAGACTCCATCTGAAACTGAAGTGTTTGTTTCCCGTCCTTCGAGGACTTTAATCCCAGATCTGATGCCCGTCACGGGGTCTTTAGCAGACCCCTCTGGTCTGTCGCTGCTGTGACGCAAGAAACATGTCAGACTCGATCTGAAACTGAAGCTTTGCGGTCTGGGTGTTCCTCAGGGCTCTGGCCACGTCCTTCGAGGGGAAGCACGGCAGCGTGCGGTACTGGGTGAAGGCCGAGCTGCACCGGCCCTGGCTGCTACCGGTCAAAGTGAAGAAAGAGTTCATCGTGTTCGAACACATCGACATCAACACGCCGCTGCTGCTGGTACGACTCTCTGCACACTCTCTCTCAAAGAACACATGTATCATACGCCACTCCCTGTGCCCTTTGCAGACCGTGTACATGCACTCAAAGCTATAGAAGAACTAAACATGGAATGCCTTTGTCTTTCAATCTTTCCATTTACATGCACTAAAACCTGGCAAAATGATACTTAAACTATTAACATACAAACTCAGAACATACACTGGCCATTGGTGCTTTTTATATATATTTATACACATGTTTTTGTATACAGTAGTCTTGTTTTCGTTGTTCTTAGTGTGAGTCTGTATCATTTTAAGTAAGAACAGTCAACTTCCTTTAGCTTTACCCAGGGGGGTCAAACTCAATTTCATCTCGGGCACATCAGCATCACTCAAAGGGCCAGTTTTATAAATAAGACTATATAAAAATACATATATAAATATTTAATATATATAAAATAATGTATTATATTACATTATTGCCTCTGCATTGGATTATTATCGGATAGGGTAATACCTTCATAAGTCTCTTCAGTGAGAATGTCACAACATTTTGAAAAAAAGTCAGATTCTGAGAAAAAGTCAAATTTGAGATGCATTGTGGGACATGTAGTTTATGGGCAACGTGCTTCTGTAAATCGGCATGTAACTGTATAATAAACATTATATTATTTGCAAGCTCTTGCGGGGCCACATAAAATGAAGTCACGGGCCGGATTTGGCCCCCGGGCCTTGAGTTTGACACCCCTGCCCTAACCCTACTACGTTTGACTTTTGCTTTGACTTGTAACATTTAGTATTTCTCCACCCTTATAATCTGAGGCACACACAAAACAACAAACAAACATTAAGATATAATACAGATGTATAGCATATATAGAAACATCTGTCAGTGTCCTGTAACCCAGAGTGTGATGCTGGTTGTGTTTCAGTCTCCTCAGGCCGGGTCCAAGGAGAAGACGCTCTGCTGCTGGTTCTGTGCTTCAGGTCCCATCTCCCTCAGTGCCAAGATCGAGAGGAAGGGCTACACTCCAGGTGAGAAAACACATCATCTCTTCCCCGCTCCTCCTCCTCTTCCTCACTCCTCACTTATAGCAGTGGTTCCCAACCTTTTTTCCCAAGAGCCCCCCCAAATGACTCCTGTTGGAAGTTGCGCCCCCCCTCCCCCACACACAAGGGGGGGGGGGGGCACAACAGCGGTAATTAAAGTTTAAAAGTCTCGAAAATGCTACAACTGTCACAAACTGGATGAATGTGACGTATGTTGTTAAAGGAGGATGAAAGCGTAATCAAGGAGCACTGTTGGAGTGACTTTGATGGTTATTGGATTCCTGCTGTATGAAGAAATTAAAGGACGGCGCAGAGGTGGAAACAATTCACAAAGGGATTAAACTGTTTCAAACACATGCTCAAAGTAAGCCGGATTTTGCCGATGTGTTTATGTGGATTCAAAAGTCGTGAATAATCTACAAAATGGAGGAGACCGATCTGATCGGAGCAACTGTGACAAATAATCCAACTGAAACCGGCATGGACAATGACTGTGTTTTAAACATGCGCTTATCCAGAAAAGCCCGGTTTGGACACTTTACGGCAGAAGAAACATTTCTATAGAAAGAATTATACATTTCTGTCTTTTTATGCCTTTAATACTAACTTGAATTTTTAATTGTTATTAAAATTAATTAGTAAATTAGGCCTCAAATCATCTGAGGCCTGGCGCCCCCCTGCGATCTTTGGCGCCCCCCCTAGGGGGGCGCGCCCCCCAGATTGGGAACCACTGACTTATAGGATACGATAATACTTTAATGGTCGGATCAAGTCTGAAATGTGACTTGCATCCCAGCAGCTCCATGTGTCACATCAACAGACTCCACAACAGCGTGAAGTGTTGCCCAGTATCTGTGTCTGGTATCCAGTCAGGATGTGTCTCCTGAGATCAGACACAGTCACTGCAGAAGTGACTGCAGGGAGATATCGGCTCTGCATCATCTTGTTCAGTCAAATCATCTTCTTTTGAGTCGTATCTCAGAGGAAACTCATATTTATTAGAAAATCACCAACTAACTGAGAGCAGAACACGTTTGAGCATCTGCGGCTTGTTTTGAAACAAAATGTTCTGATTCTGGTCAGATATAGTTCACAATGAGTTCTGCTGCTAATAAGACCTGCTTGATCTGAATACCCCGTCTTATTTCAAGAGATCTCACCAAGCTCATTTCCACTTGTTCTATTGGCAGATCTTTGAACTTATTTCAAGTGAAAACAGCTTGTTTTCATATATTGTTTTTGGAGCAGCATTTTCTCCAGTAGACAAATATCAAGACACAAGAACAACAAACACTAACGTAACAGCAGGACCAGTGAGAGCTGCTCAAAGCGCCTTCAGCGTGCATCTGATCTGTAGCTCTGTGTTCACTGAGAGGACTGACTGGAGCACAAAGGATGCTTCAGGCTGACTGGAGCACAAAGGATGCTTCAGGCTGACTGGAGCACAGAGGATGCTTCAGGCTGACTGGAGCACAAAGGATGCT